ATACTGTCATAGCTGTAGTGTAATACTGTCAGAGCTGTTGTGTAATACTGTCAGAGCGGTAGTGTAATACTGTCAGAGCTTTAGTGTTATACTGTCAGAGCGGAAGTGTAATACTGTCAGAGCGGTAGTGTAATACTGTCAGAGCGGTAGTGTAATACTGTCAGAGCTGTTGTGTAATACTGTAATACTGTCAGAGCTGTAGTGTAATACTGTCAGAGCTTTAGTGTAATACTGTAATACTGTCAGAGCGGTAGTGTAATACTGTCAGAGCGGTAGTGTTATACTGTCAGAGCTGTAGTGTAATACTGTCAGAGCTGTAGTGTAATACTGTCATACTGTAATACTGTCAGAGCTGTAGTGTAATACTGTCAGAGCTTTAGTGTTATACTGTCAGAGCTGTAGTGTAATACTGTCAGAGCTGTTGTGTAATACTGTCAGAGCGGTAGTGTAATACTGTCAGAGCTTTAGTGTTATACTGTCAGAGCTGTAGTGTAATACTGTCAGAGCGGTAGTGTGATACTGTCAGAGCGGTAGTGTTATACTGTCAGAGCTTTAGTGCAATACTGTAATACTGTCAGAGCTTTAGTGTTATACTGTCAGAGCTGTAGTGTAATACTGTCAGAGCGGTAGTGTTATACTGTCAGAGCTGTTGTGTAATACTGTCAGAGCGGTAGTGTAATACTGTAATACTATCAGAGCTGTAGTGTAATACTGTCATACTGTCAGAGCTGTAGTGTAATACTGTAATACTGTCAGAGAGGTAGTGTAATACTGTCAGAGCTGTAGTGTAATACTGTCAGAGCTGTAGTGTAATACTGTCAGAGCGGTAGTGTAATACTGTCAGAGCTGTAGGGTAATACTGTCAGAGCGGTAGTGTTATACTGTCAGAGCTGTTGTGTAATACTGTCAGAGCGGTAGTGTAATTCTGTCAGAGCTTTAGTGTTATACTGTCAGAGCTGTATTGTAATACTGTCAGAGCGTTAGTGTAATACTGTCAGAGCTTTAGTGTAATACTGTAATACTGTCAGAGCTGTAGTGTAATACTGTCATACTGTAATACTGTCAGCGCTGTAGTGTAATACTGTCGGAGCTGTATTGTAATACTGTAATACTGTCAGAGCTGTAGTGTAATACTGTAATACTGTCAGAGCTGTAGTGTAATACTGTAATACTATCAGAGCTGTAGTGTAATACTGTCATACTGTCAGAGCTGTAGTGTAATACTGTAATACTGTCAGAGAGGTAGTGTAATACTGTCAGAGCTGTAGTGTAATACTGTCAGAGCTGTAGTGTAATACTGTCAGAGCGGTAGTGTAATACTGTCAGAGCTTTAGGGTAATACTGTCAGAGCGGTAGTGTTATACTGTCAGAGCGGTAGTGTAATACTGTCAGAGCGGTAGTGTAATACTGTCAGAGCTTTAGTGTTATACTGTCAGAGCTGTAGTGTAATACTGTCAGAGCGTTAGTGTAATACTGTCAGAGCTTTAGTGTAATACTGTAATACTGTCAGAGCTGTAGTGTAATACTGTAATACTGTCAGAGCTGTAGTGTAATACTGTAATACTGTCAGAGAGGTAGTGTTATACTGTCAGAGCTGTAGTGTAATACTGTCAGAGCTGTAGTGTAATACTGTCAGAGCTGTAGGGTAATACTGTCAGAGCGGTAGTGTTATACTGTCAGAGCTGTTGTGTAATACTGTCAGAGCGGTAGTGTAATACTGTAATACTATCAGAGCTGTAGTGTAATACTGTCATACTGTCAGAGCTGTAGTGTAATACTGTAATACTGTCAGAGAGGTAGTGTAATACTGTCAGAGCTGTAGTGTAATACTGTCAGAGCGGTAGTGTAATACTGTCAGAGCTGTAGGGTAATACTGTCAGAGCGGTAGTGTTATACTGTCAGAGCTGTTGTGTAATACTGTCAGAGCGGTAGTGTAATACTGTCAGAGCTTTAGTGTTATACTGTCAGAGCTGTATTGTAATACTGTCAGAGCGTTAGTGTAATACTGTCAGAGCTTTAGTGTAATACTGTAATACTGTCAGAGCTGTAGTGTAATACTGTAATACTGTCAGAGCTGTAGTGTAATACTGTAATACTGTCAGAGAGGTAGTGTAATACTGTCAGAGCGGTAGTGTAATACTGTCAGAGCTGTAGTGTAATACTGTCAGAGCTGTAGGGTAATACTGTCAGAGCGGTAGTGTTATACTGTCAGAGCTGTTGTGTAATACTGTCAGAGCGGTAGTGTAATACTGTCAGAGCTTTAGTGTTATACTGTCAGAGCTGTAGTGTAATACTGTCAGAGCGGTAGTGTGATACTGTCAGAGCGGTAGTGTTATACTGTCAGAGCTTTAGTGCAATACTGTAATACTGTCAGAGCTTTAGTGTTATACTGTCAGAGCTGTAGTGTAATACTGTCAGAGCGGTAGTGTAATACTGTCATACTGTAATACTGTCAGCGCTGTAGTGTAATACTGTCAGAGCTGTATTGTAATACTGTAATACTATCAGAGCTGTAGTGTAATACTGTAATACTGTCAGAGCTGTAGTGTAATACTGTAATACTGTCAGAGAGGTAGTGTAATACTGTCAGAGCTGTAGTGTAATACGGTCAGAGCTGTTGTGTAATACTGTCATAGCTGTTGTGTAATACTGTCATACTGTAATACTGTCAGCGCTGTAGTGTAATACTGTCGGAGCTGTATTGTAATACTGTAATACTGTCAGAGCTGTAGTGTAATACTGTAATACTGTCAGAGCTGTAGTGTAATACTGTAATACTGTAAGAGCGGTAGTGTAATAGTGTCAGAGCTGTAGTGTAATACTGTCAGAGCTGTAGTGTAATACTGTCAGAGCAGTTGTGTAATACTGTCATACTGTAATACTGTCAGCGCTGTAGTGTAATACTGTCAGAGCTGTAGTGTAATACTGTAATACTATCAGAGCTGTAGTGTAATACTGTCATACTGTCAGAGCTGTAGTGTAATACTGTAATACTGTCAGAGAGGTAGTGTAATACTGTCAGAGCTGTAGTGTAATACTGTCAGAGCTGTAGTGTAATACTGTCAGAGCGGTAGTGTAATACTGTCAGAGCTGTAGGGTAATACTGTCAGAGCGGTAGTGTTATACTGTCAGAGCTGTTGTGTAATACTGTCAGAGCGGTAGTGTAATACTGTCAGAGCTTTAGTGTTATACTGTCAGAGCTGTAGTGTAATACTGTAATACTGTCAGAGCTGTAGTGTAATACTGTAATACTGTCAGAGAGGTAGTGTAATACTGTCAGAGCTGTAGTGTAATACTGTCAGAGCTGTAGTGTAATACTGTCAGAGCTGTAGTGTAATACTGTCAGAGCTGTAGGGTAATACTGTCAGAGCGGTAGTGTTATACTGTCAGAGCTGTTGTGTAATACTGTCAGAGCGGTAGTGTAATACTGTCAGAGCTTTAGTGTTATACTGTCAGAGCTGTAGTGTAATACTGTCAGAGCGGTAGTGTAATACTGTCAGAGCGGTAGTGTTATACTGTCAGAGCTGTTGTGTAATACTGTAATACTGTCAGAGCTGTAGTGTAATACTGTCAGAGAGGTAGTGTAATACTGTCAGAGCTGTAGTGTAATACTGTCATAGCTGTAGTGTAATACTGTCAGAGCTGTTGTGTAATACTGTCAGAGCGGTAGTGTAATACTGTCAGAGCTTTAGTGTTATACTGTCAGAGCGGTAGTGTAATACTGTCAGAGCCGTAGTGTAATACTGTCAGAGCGGTAGTGTAATACTGTCAGAGCTGTTGTGTAATACTGTAATACTGTCAGAGCTGTAGTGTAATACTGTCAGAGCTTTAGTGTAATACTGTAATACTGTCAGAGCGGTAGTGTAATACTGTCAGAGCGGTAGTGTTATACTGTCAGAGCTTTAGTGTAATACTGTAATACTGTCAGAGCGGTAGTGTAATACTGTCAGAGCGGTAGTGTTATACTGTCAGAGCTTTAGTGTAATACTGTAATACTGTCAGAGCGGTAGTGTAATACTGTCAGAGCTGTAGTGTAATACTGTCAGAGCTGTAGTGTAATACTGTCAGAGCGGTAGTGTAATACTGTCAGAGCGGTAGTGTAATACTGTAATACTGTCAGAGCGGTAGTGTAATACTGTCAGAGCTGTAGTGTAATACTGTCAGAGCTGTAGTGTAATACTGTCAGAGCTGTAGTGTAATACTGTCATACTGTAATACTGTCAGAGCTGTAGTGTAATACTGTCAGAGCTGTTGTGTAATACTGTCAGAGCTGTAGTGTAATACTGTCAGAGCTGTTGTGTAATACTGTCATACTGTAATACTGTCAGCGCTGTAGTGTAATACTGTCAGAGCTGTATTGTAATACTGTAATACTGTCAGAGCTGTAGTGTAATACTGTAATACTGTCAGAGCTGTAGTGTAATACTGTCAGAGCTGTAGTGTAATACTGTCAGAGCTGTAGTGTAATACTGTCAGAGCTGTAGTGTAATACTGTCAGAGCTGTAGTGTAATACTGTCAGAGCTGTAGTGTAATACTGTAATACTGTCAGAGCGGTAGTGTAATACTGTCAGAGCGGTAGTGTAATACTGTCAGAGGTGTAGTGTAATACTGTCAGAGCTGTTGTGTAATACTGTCAGAGCTGTAGTGTAATACTGTCAGAGCGGTAGTGTAATACTGTCAGAGCGGTTGTGTAATACTGTCAGAGCGGTAGTGTAATACTGTGAGAGCGGTAGTGTAATACTGTCAGACCTGTAGTGTAATACTGTCAGAGCGGTAGTGTAATACTGTCAGAGGTGTAGTGTAATACTGTCAGTGCGGTAGTGTAATACTGTCAGAGCGGTAGTGTAATACTGTCAGAGCTACAGTGTAATACTGTCAGTCGTGCTTGATTGTCAGCCAAATTTTGTCTTGTCCTCACAATTGTGCATTGTCATCAAAGCTGTAACATTGTCAGAGATGTAGTGTAATATTAATGGCCTATGTCCCCATCTGTATACAGGAGAGGTTTGTCATGTCGATCGCTGACCTCATCACTCTCAGTGTGCTGATGGGCATCACTCCGGCAGTCAGGGAGGCTGTGGCATCTCTCGCCAGAGGGGAACACAAAGGTGGGACATTCCTTCATCTAGCAATCCTTGTCTTTTCTTCAGCAAATTTTATAGATCATGACTCAAATCATGCACATATTTGAAACTCTTAACCTCATTTGTAATTGTTTTCCAGACCTAGAGACCTTGCAGCAGTTCAAGCAGCAGGTTGCCATGATACAGCGCGACGCCATCTGGTGGCTGCACACAGTCGTTCCAAAGGCCATGGACGTCAAGGCGGCAGAGTATGTCCACTGGTAAGTTGCTGCTGCGCAACCGAATTTGCAGCTATTTTGGTTTGGTCTGTTGAATGAAAACTGTTATTTATTTTCATTTAAACACATAGTTTGATGTAGGCAATAAAGAAAATGGTACATTCTCGTTTGATACCATGTATACAAAATGTTTTAGCTCTGTATGGTATATGACCATAAAATGCCATAGATACGAGGGGCGTTCAATAAGTTTTGCAACTTCAATATAAGACCAAGTCGCAGAATATCTTTTGCACTTGTATTTTTCAATATAATCTCCATTCACCTCAATACACTTATTCCATTTGTCCTTCAAGCTTTTAATACCACTTTTATAGAAATCCGCATATTGGCCCTCTAAACACGCCTCTGTGGCATCCTTTATGTCCTCGTCATCCTGGAAGCGTCTTCCACGTAGGGCAGATTTCATTTGTCGGAACAGGAAATAGTCCCTGGGGGCTGAGTCTGGGCTGTACAATTAAATCACCCACCCTACAGCCCAGACTTAGCCCCCGAGTGACTATTTCCTGTTCCGGCAAATGAAATCTGATAGATAATTTACTTGTTTCCTAGAAATATATTCTAACAAGGAGTGTAGTATTCTCTACATATCAATCTGTGTATTGAGGGATATCAGTAGAAGTTTTCTAATACTCATTGTTTGTTATTATTATGTACAGCAACATCCACTGTAGGTAGTGGTTTATCTTGTTGATTTCTTATGTGTAGAACATGAAAGAAATGTTTTTGTGACTGACCATGTGCTCTGACTGATGTCTATGTTGCAGCCTGCACAAGGTGCTGTTCATGGAGGAGGCCCAGCACTACTACAACAAGGACAACTGGCCCCCCGAGGGAGACCGCACGTGAGTACTGGTTGCAGTGTGGAAGGGGGGTGGGGTACAACAAGGACAACTGGCCCCCCGAGGGAGACCGCACGTGAGTACTGGCTGCAGTGTGGGAGGGGTGTGTGGGTACAACAAGGACAACTGGCCCCCCGAGGGAGACCGCACGTGAGTACTGGCTGCAGTGTGGGAGGGGGGTGGGGTACAAGGACAACTGGCCCCCCGAGGGTGACCGCACGTGAGTACTGGCTGCAGTGTGGGAGGGGGTGGGGTACAAGGACAACTGGCCCCCCGAGGGTGACCGCACGTGAGTACTGGCTGCAGTGTGGGAGGGGGGTGGGGTACAAGGACAACTGGCCCCCCGAGGGTGACCGCACGTGAGTACTGGCTGCAGTGTGGGAGGGGGGTGGGGTACAAGGACAACTGGCCCCCCGAGGGTGACCGCACGTGAGTACTGGCTGCAGTGTGGGAGGGGGTGGGGTACAAGGACAACTGGCCCCCCGAGGGTGACCGCACGTGAGTACTGGCTGCAGTGTGGGAGGGGGGTGGGGTACAAGGACAACTGGCCCCCCGAGGGTGACCGCACGTGAGTACTGGCTGCAGTGTGGGAGGGGGTGGGGTACAAGGACAACTGGCCCCCCGAGGGTGACCGCACGTGAGTACTGGCTGCAGTGTGGGAGGGGGTGGGGTACAAGGACAACTGGCCCCCCGAGGGTGACCGCACGTGAGTACTGGCTGCAGTGTGGGAGGGGGTGGGGTACAAGGACAACTGGCCCCCCGAGGGTGACCGCACGTGAGTACTGGCTGCAGTGTGGGAGGGGGTGGGGTACAAGGACAACTGGCCCCCCGAGGGTGACCGCACGTGAGTACTGGCTGCAGTGTGGGAGGGGGGTGGGGTACAAGGACAACTGGCCCCCCGAGGGTGACCGCACGTGAGTACTGGCTGCAGTGTGGGAGGGGGGTGGGGTACAAGGACAACTGGCCCCCCGAGGGAGACCGCACGTGAGTACTGGCTGCAGTGTGGGAGGGGGTGGGGTACAAGGACAACTGGCCCCCCGAGGGTGACCGCACGTGAGTACTGGCTGCAGTGTGGGAGGGGGTGGGGTACAAGGACAACTGGCCCCCCGAGGGTGACCGCACGTGAGTACTGGCTGCAGTGTGGGAGGGGGGTGGGGTACAACAAGGACAACTGGCCCCCCGAGGGAGACCGCACGTGAGTACTGGCTGCAGTGTGGGAGGGGTGTGTGGGTACAACAAGGACAACTGGCCCCCCGAGGGAGACCGCACGTGAGTACTGGCTGCAGTGTGGGAGGGGGGTGGGGTACAAGGACAACTGGCCCCCCGAGGGTGACCGCACGTGAGTACTGGCTGCAGTGTGGGAGGGGGGTGGGGTACAACAAGGACAACTGGCCCCCCGAGGGTGACCGCACATGAGTACTGGCTGCAGTGTGGGAGGGGGTGGGGTACAAGGACAACTGGCCCCCCGAGGGAGACCGCACGTGAGTACTGGCTGCAGTGTGGGAGGGGGTGGGGTACAAGGACAACTGGCCCCCCGAGGGTGACCGCACGTGAGTACTGGCTGCAGTGTGGGAGGGGGTGGGGTACAAGGACAACTGGCCCCCCGAGGGTGACCGCACGTGAGTACTGGCTGCAGTGTGGGAGGGGGTGGGGTACAAGGACAACTGGCCCCCCGAGGGTGACCGCACATGAGTACTGGCTGCAGTGTGGGAGGGGGTGGGGTACAAGGACAACTGGCCCCCCGAGGGTGACCGCACGTGAGTACTGGCTGCAGTGTGGGAGGGGGGTGGGGTACAACAAGGACAACTGGCCCCCCGAGGGAGAGGGCACGTGAGTACTTGCTGCAGTGTTGGAGGGGTGGGGTACAACAAGGACAACTGGCCCCCCGAGGGAGACCGCACGTGAGTACTGGCTGCAGTGTGGGAGGGGTGTGTGGGTACAACAAGGACAACTGGCCCCCCGAGGGAGACTGCACGTGAGTACTGGCTGCAGTGTGGGAGGGGGGTGGGGTACAAGGACAACTGGCCCCCCGAGGGTGACCGCACGTGAGTACTGGCTGCAGTGTGGGAGGGGGGTGGGGTACAACAAGGACAACTGGCCCCCCGAGGGTGACCGCACATGAGTACTGGCTGCAGTGTGGGAGGGGGTGGGGTACAAGGACAACTGGCCCCCCGAGGGTGACCGCACGTGAGTACTGGCTGCAGTGTGGGAGGGGGTGGGGTACAAGGACAACTGGCCCCCCGAGGGTGACCGCACGTGAGTACTGGCTGCAGTGTGGGAGGGGGTGGGGTACAAGGACAACTGGCCCCCCGAGGGTGACCGCACGTGAGTACTGGCTGCAGTGTGGGAGGGGGTGGGGTACAAGGACAACTGGCCCCCCGAGGGTGACCGCACATGAGTACTGGCTGCAGTGTGGGAGGGGGTGGGGTACAAGGACAACTGGCCCCCCGAGGGTGACCGCACGTGAGTACTGGCTGCAGTGTGGGAGGGGGGTGGGGTACAACAAGGACAACTGGCCCCCCGAGGGAGAGGGCACGTGAGTACTTGCTGCAGTGTTGGAGGGGTGGGGTACAACAAGGACAACTGGCCCCCCGAGGGAGACCGCACGTGAGTACTGGCTGCAGTGTGGGAGGGGTGTGTGGGTACAACAAGGACAACTGGCCCCCCGAGGGAGACTGCACGTGAGTACTGGCTGCAGTGTGGGAGGGGGGTGGGGTACAAGGACAACTGGCCCCCCGAGGGTGACCGCACGTGAGTACTGGCTGCAGTGTGGGAGGGGGGTGGGGTACAACAAGGACAACTGGCCCCCCGAGGGTGACCGCACATGAGTACTGGCTGCAGTGTGGGAGGGGGTGGGGTACAAGGACAACTGGCCCCCCGAGGGTGACCGCACGTGAGTACTGGCTGCAGTGTGGGAGGGGGTGGGGTACAAGGACAACTGGCCCCCCGAGGGTGACCGCACGTGAGTACTGGCTGCAGTGTGGGAGGGGGTGGGGTACAAGGACAACTGGCCCCCCGAGGGTGACCGCACGTGAGTACTGGCTGCAGTGTGGGAGGGGGTGGGGTACAAGGACAACTGGCCCCCCGAGGGTGACCGCACGTGAGTACTGGCTGCAGTGTGGGAGGGGGTGGGGTACAAGGACAACTGGCCCCCCGAGGGTGACCGCACATGAGTACTGGCTGCAGTGTGGGAGGGGGTGGGGTACAAGGACAACTGGCCCCCCGAGGGTGACCGCACGTGAGTACTGGCTGCAGTGTGGGAGGGGGGTGGGGTACAACAAGGACAACTGGCCCCCCGAGGGAGAGGGCACGTGAGTACTTGCTGCAGTGTTGGAGGGGTGGGGTACAACAAGGACAACTGGCCCCCCGAGGGAGACCGCACGCGAGTACTGGCTACAGTGTGAGAGGGAATAACTTTTAAAGTGGCTTTAGGCCAAACTCACTCCCTTTTTCTTCTCCATTACTGTTTCAAAATAAACAGGTTTTTTTAGTGGATCTTGGATAAATCTTCTTCTTTGCTGACTATGTTGCCTGGCAACCTTGCAGGATGATGTTGCGACTGGCTGCAGAGGTGCCTGTGATGGAGGACTCACTGATGCGAGTGTTACTGATTGGCTTGTCCCGCGAGCTGCCTCTCAGTGCTGCTGATGCTGTGGAGTTGGCGGACCAGCTCATCAGGCGGGCAGCTCCCCTCTACCTCGGAGGTCAGTCAAGCTTAACATTTATCATTTTATTTCAAAGGGTATCTTAACATATTTTCACTGATCAATGTCGACTGGTAACTTCAAATCTGGCGTTTTCAAAATCCTTTTCTAAATGTATTTGAAAGAAAACAGGTTATTAAGCCAGCAGTCTAACCAGTATGTTATGTTCTAAGTTGTAGCAGGATCACTCGGGGTACATGGGGTACATAAAACTCTGTGTACCCCGAGTGATCCTGCTACAACGAATTTATCTTACCTACATGATTTAATATGACATTGTAAATGAATTAAAATAAATTCAAAATAGATAGATAACAGCTGTTCGATTGAGCGGAGGTTAGCTTGTGCTATGTCATGACCTTCATTGACATAAGGGATTTATTCTGTCTCTCAGAAATCCATGAGCAGCCTGTATTGCTCGTGGCGGGGTATAAGAGATTTATTACCCCACTGGGAAGTTTATCCCCCTTCAAGGCGGGATACACGTTATTTTATCAAGATCACATCACATCAGATCTCATCATTTGTACATGGATGTATGATAAAGCCTGTTGTACGTTACATTGGGTATGTTGTACATTAAAGTGGGTATGTTGTATATTACAGCAGGTATGTTGTACATTACAGAGAGTGTTGTACATTACAGAGAGTGTTGTACATTACAGAGAGTGTGTTGTACATTACAGTATGTTGTATATTACAGCAGGTATGTTGTACATTACAGAGAGTGTTGTACATTACAGAGAGTGTTGTACATTACGGAGAGTGTTGTACATTACAGAGAGTGTGTTGTACATTACAGTATGTTGTACATTACAGCAGGTATGTTGTACATTACAGAGAGTGTGTTGTACATTACAGAGAGTGTTGTACATTACAGCGAGTGTGTTGTACATTACAGCAGGTATGTTGTACATTACAGAGAGTGTGTTGTACATTACAGAGAGTGTTGTACATTACAGAGAGTGTTGTACATTACAGAGAGTGTTGTACATTACAGAGAGTGTGTTGTACATTACAGTATGTTGTATATTACAGCAGGTATGTTGTACATTACAGAGAGTGTTGTACATTACAGAGAGTGTTGTACATTACAGAGAGTGTGTTGTACATTACAGTATGTTGTACATTACAGAGAGTGTGTTGTACATTACAGAGAGTGTGTTGTACATTACAGAGAGTATGTTGTACATTACAGAGAGTGTGTTGTACATTACAGAGAGTATGTTGTACATTACAGCAGGTGTGTTGTACATAAGAGAGTGTGTGTTGTACATTACAGCGGGTATGCAGGTTCTGCAGGTGGAGAGACTGGAGCTGATTGATGCACTACTCAACCTGTGTGCCTACAGACACCCAGAGAATATTGGCCTGCCAAAAGGGTTAGTGATATAGTAGTTTTTGTGTGTGTTGGCATTGAGCGAGACCTCTTATCATGTCCCTGCTATTGTGATCTGTACCTCCCCATGTTAATGTTCTGCACATGCAAATGTTATCTGTACCTCCTGTTGTGCCTCTGCAAATGGCCTGCACATGCTTATGTCTACTGTTTCAGCTACCAGCCCCCTACTCTGGCCATATCGGCTCTGTACTGGAAAGCATGGACCATGCTGGCTGTCATCAGTGCCTTCAACCCCGGCACATTTGGTGAGTCGCAGCAGACTCCAACACTGGTCATATCTTCATAACATAATTATCGATGGTGATTTTCTTCATTGGAAGTGAAGAAAATAGTAAATCTACATTCTCAACCTGAACCTATTTGATTTCATGTCTTAACAGAATAGATATGTCAGTCAACCTAAATCTCTGGTAAGTTGGGATAGGGGAGGTAACTCTAGTCAGTTGATAAGGGATTCAGATATCTGGAAAAAGAGGTTATCACGCGAGTGTGTTTGGGGATGGTAAATATCCTGCATTAGGAATAAACATTGTATTTAGCGAGCCTTGGCGAGCTAAATACATAGTGTTTATTCCTAATACAGGATATTTACCAGCCCCAAACACACAAGCGTGATAACCTCTTTATCATATAATGTCATTCTTTAATTCTGTGCTTCAAAATCGCTTTCCCTCTCTCACAAACATTACCGAAACATTGCGAGTTTTCCTGGAATGCGCGCATTAATATTTATTACGTCACAGGGTAAGTGATGTGTCAGTCGGACAGTGACAGTAGCCAATATAGTTCCAACTGAAATCTGTTTCTTATACAGTGGCGAAGCAACATATACGCAAAACAACAATTGTTTTTAATTGCCTTTCGCGGCAATCCATCGGTCTGTCCGCTAGAGTAACTGCCCTTTGTCAAAGGGAAGCTACTCTAACCCTGGGCTATGAGACGTCACGGCCACGGTCAGACGTTGTTGACAGTCGGTCTGTCCTGTCATTACAATAAGAAGTGTAGTCAGATGCACACACAGCGACAAAACGAAACAAGGTAACAATTCAAACATATTTCCGCCAAATCCAACTATTTTAATTTGTGGAGGAGGTTTCAAGCCGCAGAGGTCTACAAGCACAGATATGGCTACTGATCCCGCTTGGCTAGGCCTCGTGCCCTCGCCAAATTGTTTCGAAATTTATATCTCCAAAGTTGACAAAACTTATAAAATGCCTTAGCTACGTCACAGTTAGACACAGATTTTCAGTATATTAGACTGTTCTTTTGATAATGATAGCAATTATCCCTGTAGTTTATCCAGATTCCCAATGGTTAATTCTGACTCGATCCCCGAATGACAAGGGCGACGCCATGTTTGTTTGTAAACAGCGAAAGTAGTCCCTACTTGACCTTTGATATTTGCATCTCTATCCGCATATGACCCCAACGGATATCGTTTTTATCCGTTGGCTTTATCCTGCCGAGAAACCTACCCATTATATGATAAACTCGTTTATCCAGACAATATTTGAAAATATTCAAGTGTCTGGGTAAGGGAGGCTTGACTGTAAATATAAATGTGATAACACATTGCCATCAAGAATGAGGTAACATTCCATGGTCTTGTTCAACAAAGCGACCTTAGTGTTACAATTATCATAAACCAAGCACTTAGATCGCTTTGTGGAACATGACTCATATGTATAAGTTATAATGTGTCATCACTGTTTATTCACAGGTCTCTCAGCCTGGGAAAACTACCCAACTCTGAAATGTCTGATGGAGATGGCCATGACAAAGTAAGTGACATGCTCCAGCAACATCAGCAACAACATCAGCAACATCCATCTGCTGCTGGAGTTCTCACCTGAATTATTGCTGTAATGTCATTAGTGATGTAATGCCATGTCTCTGTATTTATTGACAAAGTGTTTCAATCTTGTGTATCTTTTGGTGTGTTTGTCCATCTCTCCAAATTTACGGATGTTGCTGTGGATGAATAATGGCAAGAAATAGCAGTGTATATCAATGTGTAATATTCATGGTGATGTTAAATTTGATTGATTCACTCAGCAGAGTAACATGCTGGTCACCGACATAAGTAAAGTCCATGTTTGCATTCCAGCAACTTCAAGTTCCCCCCACCAACAACGGCAACTGATGATAAGGTGATCGAGGAGATCAAGAACCGGGAGCGGCAGATCGCCCAGCAGGAGGTGCAGCAGATCCTGGAGTTTGAGAGCCATCTGGCCGCCGCCACCAGCAAAGTGACCATCACCGAGGCCAACAGCCTCCTCCTTGACCAACTCACCACCATGGACCCCAAGTAGGTAGCCTAGGGGCAGACAACTCCACACCCTGCCAGGGAGTTTCACTCCGTTTGCATGTTCTGAATAGTTGGGTATTTTTTAGTTTGTAGAAGAACATGTATTTAATCTTTATGATTTTGTGATTAAAAAATATTTTTCTTGGAAGTGCTCATTAAATGATTAATGAAAGATTTATTTGAAGACAAACTTTGCCATCTGCCGACGTGTTTGTTTCTTGTTTAACTCCACACTTAGTATGCTCAGCAATATTCCAGCTATATGATGGCGGTATGTAAATAATGGAGTCTGGGCAAGACAATCCAGTGATTGATATCATGAGCATTGATCCACGCAATTGGGATACGATAACATGCATCAACCAAGTCAGTGAGACTGACCATCCGATCCCCTGGGTTGCCTCTTACGACAAGCATAGTCTCCTGTTATGGCAAGCATGGGTTGCTGAAGATCTGTTCAAGCCCGGATCTTCACAGGTCCATCTGCCAACTAATCTCATGAGATGTCTTCATCATAACATGGCAGCTATAAGGAATTAAATCAAGAAGGAGACATAATCCACAAGCAGTGGATGCCGATTTAGTTGTCCTCGATACAAAAACATCCTTTATAAAACTGTCAGTGACTATCCTCTTCACAGTGGTATTGCACGATGTCCCCCAGCCAAAGTGCTGGACCAGCTGTCCAACTTGTGCAACACTCTCAAGGTCGGTCAGATGCTGTGTCGGAGCCGGAGTCCTGACTTCCTACTGGACATCATACAGAGACAGGTACATACAAGGGAGACTACTCTTGTCTCATCTTCATAGATATCTCTGCAGATACTGGCAAGCACAGGATATAAGAATACCAATCAAAATTAGGACTTTGTGTTATTAAGAGATTTCATTGTAACACTGGTTAATGACCTGCCTGTAGAGAAAAACAATGGTGTTGCTTCAAGGTTAAGGTATTTACTTGTCAAGCCCAAGATTCACTTTGGATTCTATTCAAGGGGGTATCGATCAGGCTGAAATATGGGATTCAATATCTCGATTGGGTACACTTCTGTTAAAGAAAATTTGTATGTAGTCAGTTTATGATTGCCACGGATGGTGTTGCAGGGGACGTCGCAGTCCATGCCGTGGCTGGCGGAGCTGGTGGAGTCGAGTGAGGGCTCCCTGGACGTGCTGCCCATCCAATGTCTGTGTGAGTTCCTGCTGCATGAGCCCCCCGAGTCCTCCGACACAGGGGACTCCGACGTCATCAAGGCGGAGAAGTACCGGAGGAAAGAGGTAAGCAGAACCCTCCTGCACATGTCTGTAGACATGCATGTATCTTCTGTGTATGTTGAACTGCTCAGGTTGAGGTGAGACGGTGGGGTAGCCTAGTGGTTACACCGTTCTTTCATCACGCTGAAAACCAGGGTTCGATTCCCCACTTGGGTACAATGTGTGAAGCCCATTTTATGATGTCCTCTGCCGCTGGAATATTGCTAAAAGCGGCATAAAACAATACTCACTCACTCAGCTTGAGGGAGGTACAACTTTCAGCTCTTAAACTTCTTCATCAGTAATCAACATATAAGCAAGCTATCTGATTGGCTAGTCCCCATCCTATACCAGCCAGCTGGCCAGTCTTACTTGCATTTTAAGAGCTCATCGTTAGGATCCATTCATCGACTATCAGTTTTGTTGCATTCTAGACCATACTATTCCTAAATCCCATACCCTCTGCTGGTGACTCTTGTAACAAATTTATCTTTATAAGCGCACAAGTGAAATATTTGTGTGTATCTTGTGACTGCCAGTAGTTTCTGTGCAGTGTGGTATCCCAAGTTCGAACAGAGGCATTAATGCTGTCATGCTATCTTTCCGGGTCTGAGTGGTTTTTTTACAGGATATCAACTGTAAATGTACATTGAGTTTAAGTAACAAAATTCTTTCATTCTGTTTCATTAATATTGTTTGCCTTTATGTCTACTTCTCTAAAGATTTGTTTGTTTGTTTGTTCTTAAACGCCACACTCAGCAATATTCCAGCTATATCACGGCAGTCTGTAAATAATGGAATCTGGACAGGACATTCCAGTGATTGACATCATGAGCATCGGATACAATGACATTATCAACCATGTCAGCAAGCCTGACCACCCAATCCCGTTAGTCGTCTCTTACGACAAGCAAAGTCGCCTCTTGCGACAAGCATGGGTTGCTGAAGACCTCTTCTAACCTTGATCTTCACGGGTTCTTTTCTAATGGACACCACAATGATGTAACTTTGCTGGCCATTGTCAAAGGATATTCACATCTTACATTTAAACTCTCAGTAACTTGTGATAAAATCAGATTTTATTGCAAAAAAAGCCCCTAGTTTAAATGTTTTTGTATCTGTTGAAGAAACTGAAGAAGCAGCGTCAACTTCTGAGTCGGCTGCAGGAGATGGTGCATGGGACGTCCTCCGACTCATCCACGATGTTCCAGGTCCTTGACTACTTCCTGAAGCGACTCTCGTCCACCCAGTCAGTGTCTCGATCTCAGGCCATCAAGGTAAGCAGCTCTCAGTCAGTGTCTCGATCTCAGGCCATCAAGGTATGCAGCTCTCAGTTGGTGTCTCCATCTCAGGCTATCAAGGTAATCAGCTCTCAGTCGGTGTCTCCATCTCAGGCTATCAAGGTAAGCAGCTCTTAGTCGGTGTCTCGATCTCAGGCTATCAAGGTAAGCAGCTCGTAGTCGGTGTCTCGATCTCAGGCTATCAAGGTAAGCAGCTCTTAGTCGGTGTCTCGATCTCAGGCTATCAAGGTAAGCAGCTCTTAGTGGGTGTTTCGATCTCAGGCAATCAAGGTATGCAGCTCTTAGTCGGTGTCTTGATCTCAGGCTATCAAGGTAAGCAGCTCGTAGCCGGTGTCTCGATCTCAGGCCATCAAGGTAAGCAGCTCGTAGTCGGTGTCTCGATCTCAGGCTATCAAGGTAAGCAGCTCTTAGTCGGTGTCTCGATCTCAGGCTATCAAGGTAAGCAGCTCTTAGTCGGTGTCTCGATCTCAGGCTATCAAGGTAAGCAGCTCGTAGTCGGTGTCTCGATCTCAGGCTATCAAGGTAAGCAGCTCTTAGTCGGTGTCTCGATCTCAGGCTATCAAGGTAAGCAGCTCTTAGTGGGTGTCTCGATCTCAGGCAATCAAGGTATGCAGCTCTTAGTCGGTGTCTTGATCTCAGGCTATCAAGGTAAGCAGCTCGTAGTCGGTGTCTCGATCTCAGGCCATCAAGGTAAGCAGCTCGTAGTCGGTGTCTCGATCTCAGGCTATCAAGGTAAGCAGCTCTTAGTCGGTGTCTCGATCTCAGGCTATCAAGGTAAGCAGCTCTTAGTCGGTGTCTCGATCTCAGGCTATCAAGGTAAGCAGCTCTTAGTCGGTGTCTCGATCTCAGGCTATCAAGGTAAGCAGCTCTTAGTCGGTGTCTCGATCTCAGGCTATCAAGGTAAGCAGCTCGTAGTCGGTGTCTCGATCTCAGGCTATCAAGGTAAGCAGCTCTTAGTCGGTGTCTCGATCTCAGGCTATCAAGGTAAGCAGCTCTTAGTGGGTGTCTCGATCTCAGGCAATCAAGGTATGCAGCTCTTAGTCGGTGTCTTGATCTCAGGCTATCAAGGTAAGCAGCTCTTAGTCGTAGTCTGGTCTCAGGCCGTCAAAGTAAGTGTCTTGTACTGTCCAGTAGACCAGCATCTCATAAGTCCATGAGTACTCGGACCCCGAGACCCCACAAAATCAGCTACTCGAAATGGGTCAATTGGAGAACAGTTCAGTTGAGTCATGGCTCATATAATGTTTATTTGTGAATGTTGACACCAGTGGCTGATGCAGATAAGAACACTGGCTCTAATACTGCTGTCTGTTTCTCACCCTCTCTAACGTGTGTTCCAGGGTTTGTCAATGGTGGTGTCCAAGTCGGCCTCCAGTCAAGAAGACAAGGACGAAACCAAGATGGATGTTGATGGTGACAACAGAGCTAATGATTGGCTGTTGAAGGATCTGCCATCCCTCCCTCTGTTCCAGGAGGTGAAAGGTCAAACTAGTCTGGCGCTTCGACAGGTATGATGAACCAGCAACCATGTTTCCAGCTGGGGATGTCATTTTGCAGATTCTGTGCCATCTGCATCTGAATTGATTTCAGAGATGCTCTGACAGTTTACTTCATGTTGTGGGCATATATACATTCCTCTCAACAGTTTAGTTGCGACATTGTGTGCATCATTTGCCAGTCCTGCCGAAGTTTAGACAGGTCCACTTCTTGCCATCCCCTGTTCCCTGTATTAATACCTCTGTAACGTCCCCTATATACTTGATCTGTATATAACTGTTCCCTGTTTCTCATATAACTGTTCCTTGTATAACTGTTCCCTGTCTAACAGTTCCCTGTCTAACTGTTCCCTGTCTAACTGTTTCTCATATAACTTCCTTGTATAACTGTTCCCTGTCTAACTGTTTCTCATATAACTTCCTTGTATAACTGTTCCCTGTCTAACTGTTTCTCATAGAACTTCCTTGTATAACTGTTCCCTGTCTAACTGTTTCTCATATAACTGTTCCTTGTATAACTGTTCCCTGTATTAATACCTCTGTAGCGTCCCCTATATATTTGATCTGTATATAACTGTTCCCTGTCTAACTGTTTCTCATATAACTGTTCCTTGCATAACTGTTCCCTGTCAAACTGTTTCTCATATAACTGTTCCGTGTATAACTGTTCCCTGTCTAACTGTTTCTCATATAACTGTTCCTCATATAACTGTTCCTTGTATAACTGTTCCCTATGTAACCATTCCTTGTGTATCTGTATGCTGCATATCTATTTCCTAAATCATGTATATAACTGTTCCCCCATATAACCATTCCCTGTAGAACTGTCCCCTACATGACCACTCCCTGGATGACTGGTGTGTTGTGTTCTAGGCCTGCCAAATCGAGACAGATCCCAGTCTTGTCAGCTCCTACATTATCTTCCTGTCCCAGCATTCCCTGTAAAACTGTCCCCTACATGACCACTCCCTGGATGACTGGTGTGTTGTGTTCTAGGCCTGCCAGATCGAGACAGATCCCAGTCTTGTCAGCTCCTACATCATCTTCCTGTCCCAGCATTCCCTGTAAAACTGTCCCCTACATGACCACTCCCTGGATGACTGGTGTGTTGTGTTCTAGGCCTGCCAGATCGAGACAGATCCCAGTCTTGTCAGCTCCTACATCATCTTCCTGTCCCAGCATTCCTTGGACCAGAATCTCTACGACCTCGACAACCTGGCCTCGGTAAGTCTTACATCATTGACGACAGGCATGCTTCAAGACTGCAGCAGCCACAAGTCATTTTTCTGACTCAGTTCCATTCCTTAATTATTCATGCTTCTCAAGTGTTTTGAATTTGAAAATATTGCTCTAATTATACCCAGTGAGAATATTTGAAAGATTGGTATTTTTCATTAAGTTGTTGTCTCATTCACCAACTCTCAGTGATACAGATTTCCGTTGATGTTAACTGATTGTTGCTCTGCTTTGTATAAGGATGTTGCCCAGCTGATAGTGGAGCGGACGTCGGTGATCAACCACATCCTGCCGTGTGAGGGCAACCCCTGGACACCGTCGCAGGACGTCACCCTCAACGCCCTCATCAGCCTCTATGTCAACTACCTCAAGAAGGCCAGGGAGCCACACAAGGAGGCGTATACATGGGTACGTGTTTTATTCATAAGGTGTAATGATGGGTATGTGTCATTGACACAGACTCACAGATTGTATACAATGGTACCTGTCATAGACATAGATTCATAAAGTATGTGTCATTGTGGCAAACTTACAAGGCAGGTGTAACTGTCGGGGAGTTTACATCTGTGTATAGTATTCAACAGATTCTGACTGTCGGGGAGTTTACATCAATGTATAGTATTTAACAGATTCTGACTGTCGGGGAGTTTACATCTGTGTATAGTATTCAACAGATTCTGACTGTCGGGGAGTTTACATCGGTGTATAGCATGGTATTCAACAGATTCTGACTGTCGGGGAGTTTACATCAATGTATAGTATTCAACAGATTCTGACTGTCCGGGAGTTTACATCTGTGTATAGTATTCAACAGGTTCTGACTGTCGGGGAGTTTACATCTGTGTATAGCATGGTATTCAACAGATTCTGACTGTCGGGGAGTTTACATCAATGTATAGTATTCAACAGATTCTGACTGTCGGGGAGTTTACATCAATGTATAGTATTCAACAGATTCTGACTGTCGGGGAGTTTACATCTGTGTATAGTATGGTATTCAACAGATTCTGACTGTCGGGGAGTTTACATCAATGTATAGTATTCAACAGATTCTGACTGTCGGGGAGTTTACATCTGTGTATAGCATGGTATTCAACAGATTCTGACTGTCGGGGAGTTTACATCAATGTATAGTATTCAACAGATTCTGACTGTCAGGGAGTTTACATCCGTGTATAGTATGGTATTCAACAGATGTGCGTTATCTGTTTCAGTCCAACACCCAGGACCAGATCCTCCTGCAGTGGGAGTCAGGCGAGTCCGCCACGATGTTCATCCTGGTAGTACACTCCATGATCACACTGCTCACATACGGACCACCCACAGGTTAGCCAACTGAACAGTCAACAACTGAACAGTCCCATGAACATGGCAGCATGGATGGTGTAGAATAGCAAGGAGTTGTTCACCGTCATTTTCATCCTTGTTAATTTCATCACATAGGAATTCATCCTTCTGAGCACCTTTCTTTGCATAGTTAACATAACTGGCCGAATAAAGTCACATTCAACATATGTTGCTATAGTGCAGCATCAAACCCCACTCACCCACCCACCCATCCAAGACTCACTCACTCACTCACTCACTCACCCACTCACTCACACACTCACTCACTCACTCACTCACTCACTCACTCACTCACTCACTCACTCACTCACTCACTCACACTCTCACTCACTCACTCACTCACACACTCACTCACTCACTCACTCACACTCACTCATTCACTCTCACTCACTCACACTCACTCACTCACTCACTCACTCACTCACACTCTCACTCACTCATTCACTCACTCACTCACTCACTCACTCACTCACACTCTCACTCATTCACTCACACTCACTCACTCACTCACTCACTCACTCACTCACTCACTCACTCACTGTATGTTTTTGGTGTGGCCAGGTGAGAGTCAGTACCACGTGCTGCTGGAAACCTGGTTCCCCAAGGAGGGGCATCTCCCATCAGCCTTCCTACTGGACACATCCGAGGAGGCCTTGCTGCTCCCTGATTGGCTGAAACTGAGGATGATTCGCTCTAGCGTCGACCAACTCGTGAACTCAGGTGAGAATAAGGAGCACCTTAACAAAGTTACTGTATTCGACGTAATAAGCGCCCCTAATAAGCGCCCACGGCGGTATTTGCTAATATATTGGCTAGTGAACAATCCCAACTAGCACCCCTTCCGATTGATCAATGTTCACAAGACTTATTAATTCGCGTACAATACGCACTCGCGTGTTATATGCACCCTTAATTATGGGCAATTCAATTTCAGAAAAATATATCTGTCGTACATAAACATTTCAGGCTGTCAGCATAAACCACGAAATGTATCTTTCAACTCTTTTTTTTTCTCACCAAAATAATATTCTAATAAGAGCCCCCTATTTCCAATTTTGAGAGCGCCCTGGGCACTTATTACGTCGATTACGGTATGTGTTGGGGGGAAACTTGCTATCTACCATGTCTACTGTACATCATGTACATCATAGTTAAAACAATATTAATGTTTACTTTACTAAACATGATGCTGGGAAGTTGTTAAGGATTTTAAGAGAAAGGTTCAGTTAAGGTGTTGAGGCTGTGGGTTTTTGGATAAGAATAAATGGTAAACTAAATTATAATCAGTTCTTTTTGGTCAATATTGTTGTATGGTATCCATGTTTTTAACTGATGTTTGTTTACTTGTCAATGATATAATGCCATTGTCCCTTTGACAATTGCAATGCATCCATAGTTCCATCACTTGTTACTTTTACCAACTTTGTCACAGCTCTGCAAGAACTGGAACCAGCCCAGCTTTTGCTGTTTGTCCAGTCCTTCGGGATCCCAGTGGCCAGCATGAGCAAGCTGTTGACCTGTCTGGACAACGCAGTGGGTTTGGACCCCACGGGGCTGGAGCAGGCCGTGCTGGACAAGGTGTACATGGCCCAGCTGATCGAGATCCAGCACAAGAGAGGGGCCAAGGGAGGGGAAAAGTTCAACCTCATGTTGACCCAACATCTGCCTCGACCCAAACCAGGTCAGGGACGTTTGGAATGAATATTATTTGAAAAAGTGTAACCGTGTCTTGAACCAGAGTGAAATCATTGTGCTTTGCAGGATAAGAGCAGTGTATTGCAGTGAGAATGATACCTAGTCCTGTGTGGTCGTGTTGTTTTGGGCTTGGATCGAATAGGGAGGATTATATGTTGTTTCTCTCTTATTTGTGAGTCCTCAGGGCCCTGTTCCACAAAGTTGGTTGGTTGGTTGGTTTGTTGTTTAACGCCGCTCTCAGCAATATTCCAGCTATATGACGGCGGTCTGTAAATAATCGAGTCTGGACCAGACAATCCAGTGATTAATATCATGAGCATCGATCCACCAATTGGGACCGATGACATGCATCAACCAAGTCAGCGAGCCTGACCACCCGATCCCGTTAGTCGCCTTTTACGACAAGCATAGTCACCTTTTACGGCAAGCATGGGTTGCTGAAGACCTATTCTACCCCGGAATCTTCACGGGTCGTTCCACAAAGTAGTAAGTAGTGGTAGTAGAATTTGTCTTCAACAACCCTGTCAATGCTTGTAGTAAGAGGTGACTAATAGGATTGGGTGGTCAGGCTCGCTGACTTTGTTGATACATGTCATCGTATCCCAATTGCGTGGATCGATGCTCATGATATCAATCACTGGATTGTCTGGTCCAGACTCGATTAATTACAGACCGCCGTCATATAGCTGGAATGTTGAGTGCGGCTTTGAACAACAAATAAGCAAACAAACAATCATAAGTCTATGTTAAAGTATGGGAGTTACAATCGCCTTAACTCTACGATCGACCCGTGAAGATCCGGGGTAGAATAGGTCTTCAGCAACCCATGCTTGCCGTAAAAGGTGAGTAGTTTGTCGTAAAAGGCGACTAACGGGATCGGGTGGTCAGGCTCGATGACTTGGTTGATACATGTCATCGATCCCAATTGCGTGGATCGATGCTTATGATATCAATCACTGGATTGTCTGGTCCAGACTCGATTATTTACAGACCGCCGTCATATAGCTGGAATATTGCTGAGTGCGGCGTTAAACAACAAACAAAACCAACTCTACGATCGCTTTATGGAATGGACCCCTGAAGACTCTCAGTAATGTTATTTGGTGGTTCGAGGTGTGAAATGGAGTGTACCAGGATAACCACTGTATGCACGAACAAATGAATATATGCGTAATATAGACTACTAAATATAGACTTCTTCCAATCCCTTACACTAGGTATGGATGGGATGCCCTTGTTTGAAACTTTTTGAAATATTTTATGGCCATGTTACCATGGCTCCAACTGAAATATAACAATTCACCAGCTATGTTGTAACAAATGTCTCAGTAGATGCACGCATTACATTTTCAGGGACACATAGTTCTACACAATCATGTGGAGATCTGTGATATAATAGTAATCAATGCTTGCTGTAAGAGGCGACTAACGGGATCGGTGGTCAGGCTCGCTGACTTGGTAGATGCATGTCATCGTATCCCAATTGCGTGGATTGATGCTCATGATGTTGATCACTGGATTGTCTGGTCCAGACTCGATTATTTTTAGACCGTCAATATCTGTTGACAACGAGTTGGTGGTGCACATGTTTTGCAAATCCTGCAATTGACCAAAATCTGCACGACAGTCTTCGAACTGGATTTCGATTTCGTTGCACGATTTTGATTGGACTATGCATAGTCTCGTTAGTCCAGCCTAAATGTAACTCCATAATACCAGCCTATTGTAGTCAGTTAACTCTCTTGTCTCGTGAAGATGCTTACCTTAGGCTCAACCTTTGATCATGGGTTCGAATACCAGATTTGCCCTGACTACAGGTGTTTCTAGGTTTGTTAGCAGCGTACTTATGATTGTGGTTTCACCTTAGGCTTTCCTCCCACATGAAGCTGACACACAGTGGTATTACTGGCACACGGCTGAAGTGGTCCAGACCTCGATTATTTTTAGACCGCCGGCATACATCTGGAATATTGCTGAGTGGGGCGTTAAACAACAAACAAAACTACACAAGCAGTCAGTAGTTAAGCACGTGCTCCTCTGTCGGTTTACCTGTAAGGTGTGTGTTGTTCCAGCCCCCAGTACAGAGGGAATGGACACAGGATTGACCGGCTACCCCTGCTGGCAGGTCCGCAAAATGGAGGAGGTGACTCTCCCGTGGGGGAAACCCAACCTGGTGCCATGCTTGTTGGAGGTGAGTAATTCATTTATTACCCCTCACCACAAAATGGAAGGGATATATAGGAATGGGTGCTGTCCGTCCGTCTGCACATGGATAGATAGGCCTTGTGTCGAACTGCTGCTTTTGGATAGTTCAGGATTTTTGAAATCTTGAAAACCGTACAATATTTCTTCATCAAACTTGGCACATAGATAGGTCTAGTGGTAAACTAGTGCCTTTTGGGGGTTTGGGATTTTTTTTAGATTTATTTTGTTTAGTTTCCACAGTGACGACTTTGACTTTGACTGAAAATGGTGGTAGTGCTCTTTAGAGCATATTTTGAAAACTGTACAATATTTCTTGCCTTGCACACAACCAGACATGTCATATTGGTTAAACTTGACACACTTGTATAGCAACTCAACAAATCACACCAGACTAATTTCATACTGGAAGTGGTAGCAGAATGTTTTCCATCAGGGTCAGGGAGACAAATTGTTGTTTGAAAATCTATTTTATCACAGCAAGTGAATATTTTTAGAAAGGAATTTTCAGTTCCAGTGAGTTCAATTCGGACCTGATTTTATGTGACCTGGAGCTCGAGGAGATCCACGTGTTAAGAGGGTTCCTGGTTTTCTTATTGTTACAATTACATCTCAGAAGCTTCTTAGCCAAGTGGCGAAAGCATTCGCCCGTCACACCTTAGACCGGGGTTCAATTCCCCACATGGGTACAATGTGTGAAGCCCATTTCTGGTGTTCCCCGCCGTGATATTGCTGGAATATTGCTAAAAGCGGCGTGAATCACTACCCACTCACTCACTCACTCAGCAGCCCCTACCATCTCCTTGTTCTGTTGCCAGATCTTTGACCCAAGCGGAACGTCCAACCCAAGATCCAACAAGCTGTATCAGACTCTCATCAAGGTATGAAGTTTCTTGCTGCTCTGTTTTCAAAACATCCAGCTTACCCATCAGCCCCTGAGTGCTGTGCATATAATTGTTGACTTAAGGCTTAAAAATATAAAAGAATCGGTTCTCAGGCAATGGCGTTTGAAAAGGTGGGCTGTGTTTTTTGTTTGTTGTTGTTCAAACTAGTATGTAACCAAATCAACAGTTATGTACCCAAATAAACAGTTGTGTCCAATCAACCTGGGAAAGGGCCCCCCTACATAAATGTATTCCTTGATAGTATTTGAATACTGTTGGCCTTGGAATAGTTAAGGATTTTTGGGGTTTTTTAAAAATGGAAATAAAAATGAAACATGTGGAAAACTTTATGATGATGTGGGGAATGCCTGAGAACCAAGACTTAATTTCTTTTAGCCTTAAGTATCAGTACTTGCTGCAGGGGGCACTGGTGGCTGAGTCATCTAGGATGATGTACTTTAATGTGCAGAGTCGCTTCCCTTTATCTTCCTGAGGCAAGGGAATTCCTGGGCTCGATCGTAGCGCCACCAGTGGCTTTTACAAGTTATGTCCCTTCTATGCCTGTCCTATGGACCAATCAGATTCCACCTCTCATATCACTTGCATTTGCTTCAAACAAAATGGCGGTGCCCAGTCAAGACGATCTGATCGATAATCAAGATCTATATTGTGATAGAACGGGTTTAACATCGCGGAATGCATCAAATCACGTGAGCACCTTGATTAAAAACATGAAAAGATTATCATATCTGTTGACAATGAGTTGGCAGTGCACATGCTTTGCAAATCCTGCAATTAACCAAAATCTGCACGACATTCTACGAACCGGATTTTGATTTCGTTGCATGATTTTGATTGGACTCTAGCCAAAATGTGACTCCATAATACCAGTCTATTTCGGCAAGGGTGGAAACTGGACTTTTGTAGTCAGTTAACTCTCTTGTCTCGGGAAGATGCTTCCCTTAGGGTCAACCTTTGATCATGGGTTCGAATACCAGATTTGCCCTGACTACAGGTGTTTCTAGGTTTGTCAGCAGCGTACCCGTGATTGTGGTTTCACCTCGGGCTTTCCTCCCACATGAAGCTGACACACAGTGGTATTACTGGCACACGGCTGAAGGGGTATAAGCCAAGGTCACCCTCTCCCTTGCTGCTTGAGATTAGGTTCATGTTAGGTTTCTGATGTTTTGTTCATTTCTGCCTATTTCACTTTCAGTCCATATCAAGTGAGCAGAGCAAGGCTGCCGAGGTGATCACCACAATGCAGAAGGTGAGTTGGTGTAGGTGATGTCGTAGGTGATGTAGGCGCTGTTCTAGGAGTTGGTGTAGGTGCTGTTGTATGTGATGTAGGCGCTGTTCTAGGAGTTGGTGTAGGTGCTGTTGTAGATGCTGATTTAGGTGCTGTTGAAGGAGTTGGTGTAGGTGCTGTTGTATGTGATGTAGGTGCTGTTGCAGGAGTTGGTGTAGGTGCTGTTGTAGGTGATGTAGGTGATTTTCTAGGAGTTGGTGTAGGTGCTGTTTTAGGAGTTGGCCTAGGTGCTGCTGTAGGTGTTGTTGAAGGCGCTGTTCTAGGAGTTGGTGTTGGTGCTGTTGTAGATGCTGTTTTAGGTGCTGTTGCAGGTGTTAGTGTAGCTGCTGTTGAAGGCGCTGTTCTAGGAGTTGGTGTAGGTGCTGTTGTAGACGCTGTTCTAGGAGTTATTGTAGGTGCTGTTGTAGGCGCTGTTCTAGGAGTTGGTGTAGATGCTGTTGTAAGACTTGTGTAGGTGCTGTTCGAGGAGTTGGTGTAGGTGCTGTGATAAGACTTGTGTAGGTGCTGTTGTAGGTGCTGTTATAATCATGAATATCCTGAGCTGAAATTTGAATGTTCAGTTCAATAATTTCAATCTGGTAACATTCAGTATGAGTCAAGGTGAGTACTGCCGTGTGTGATGTGGCAAGTGAACGATATCAGATGAAACAGTACAACATTTTGCTGGCCGTACAGGGCGGCATTTGACGAATTCCTGACATTTCTCTGTCGATCTTTACAAGGCGGTGCAGGAACCGGAAGCTCCATGTTTGATGCTGCACCTACTACAACTGATGCATCCCATTCTTCTGTTTCTGCCTTGACTACAGCAATACATATGCCCCACAAACTCTTCTTCATCACTTTATGGCTGGGGACTCTGTGGGGAGTCCGGGTTTGAATAGAACCCCCAGCAACCTGTGCTGGCCGAAAGAGGTGATCATGGATCGGGTGGTCATACCTGGTTGATTGTACCCTGACGGTGTGGAGGGTTGTTCACAATATCAATCACTGGCTTGTCTGGTCCACAGCCGATTATTTACTGGCCGTCGTCATATAGCTGTAAGATTGCAGAGTGCGGCGTTGAACACCAAACAAACAATAAATTGTGTCTGGACCTAGTAGTGTATCATCTCCTTTGGGATTACAAGATGGACAAACAGTTACCGTATTCGACGTAATAAGCGCCCAGGGCGCTCTCAAAATTAGAAATGGGGCTGTTATTAGAATATAATTTTGGTGAGATTAAAAATGAGGCTGAAAGATTGTACATTTTGTGGTTTATGCTGACAGCCTGAAATGATCTAAAATAAGAATTTAATTGCTTATGATTAAGGGTTCATATAACACACGAGTGCATATTATACACGAATAAATAAGTCGGAAAGGGTGCTAACTGGGATTGTTCACTAGCCAATATATTAGCAAATATCGCCTTGGGCGCTTATTAGAGCGGGGCGCTTATTACGTCGAATACGGTAGCTGTATTTCAGTATGAATAATGATAAAGTTTATTTCGTATTCATGTTAAAAGTGGGGCGGTCGGGTAGCCTAGTGGTTAAAGCGTTCGCTCGTCACGCCGAAGACCCGGGTTCGATTCCCGACATGGGTACAATGTGTGAAGCCCATTTCTGGTGTCCCCCGCCGTGATATTGCTGCAATATTGCTAAAAGCGGCGTAAAATCAAACTCACTCACTCACTCATGTTAAAAGTCAGGACATGAATGTCATGAATGAGATTGTCATGAGGACAGATTTTATTGTATTAATATTTTATTCTCATATATTTGTTTTTTTAGATCCTGGAGTCTACAAAAGGTGCTGAGTTTGCTGCTCGTCTTTATGAGACATCATCAAGATCAGGACCACTTCTCAAGCTGCTCATATCCAAACAGGTGGGAAAGAAAATAGTTTAGAAAATATGAAAAATAATAAATTACATTAAGTAATACGTTACCACTGTTATACCGAGGCTGTTGTCTCCCACAACTGCTGCACAGAGAAATCTACCACAGAGATCTCAATTACCTCATGCAGCACGTGCGTAGCCACCTAGCTGCCATGTGACACCCTTCACTCTTGTCTCCTTCGTCTGCTTAGCAAGACGTGTTTTCTCCTGCTGAAGCGTTCCTTGAAGATTTGGTGATATTTATTATAGTTTATTCTCTAATAAACTGTGCTTTTATGGGGCGTTGCGGTAGCTACGCTTGGTTATAATTTTCCAGCCAAACGGAAAATTTTTCCCGCCCTTTTTTCTATATACTTGCGGGGTTCGCGTATGCACGTTGTGTTTTACGTTTCCCCTGTTCTTGTATGTTTTTGGGGGTTAACATAACTTATTTCTTTAATAAAAGTTATATGTGTATGTTATATGTTCACATTGCTCGTTTATTTTCTTGTGAAAATGTTCGTTTGTGAATCATTGTGGTGCGTGCGTTGTAACCATGTTTTGTTCTTTGTTTATAGCAAACAATCAATGTCTGACATGGATATGTCCCCAGTATCCACCCCCTCTACCCCTGCTCCTCGGAGTTGTGGGGTGTGCAGAAAGTTTTTGTCTTCCCGGGATCCCCACGATCGTTGCCCGCGGTGCAGGGTTCCTTGCGGGGACACCCGGTGCATCCTGTGCGAAGGTCTGGGGCCTGCGGAGTTTGAGCGGTACCGGCTGTACGTACAGTCCGTCTCCACCCCTGTGGTGGCCGGTTCGTCCGGTCGGGGTCCCCGTGCGGGTACCACCTCCTCGGCTGCGGCGGATCCCCTTGCGGCCCTCGGGCTGTCTGGGGATTCCGTCGCCGCATTGTTGTCGAAACTTGTGGACTCCAAGCTGGCGGCCTTATCGCAAGATAGGCCGCTGGCTGTTCCGTCCCCGGCCTCTTCGGTGGCCGCGGGGTCGGACGCGGGGTCCACCGGTAAAGCGGCGGATCTCTTGGCGGCCCGTGTGCTGTCCGGGGATTCCGTCGCTGCATTACTTGCATAACTTGTGGACTCCAAGCTGGCGGCCTTATCTCAGGATAGGCCGCTGGCTGTTCCGTCCCCGGCCACTTCGGTGGCCGCGGGGTCCACCGGTACGGCGGCGGCTCCCGTGGTCACCGGTCCTTCCCCCGAACCGTTGCTCCCGCTATCGGTTTAGGACCGCGTGGCCATGGTTTATGACCTCTTTGAGGACATGCCCCGGCCGGTACCGCGGGGAATCCACGACTGTGGGTTCCTCCGAGGTATAAGATGAGTCTTCCGACACGGCTTTCCCCGCATCGACCTTGCTGCGCGGTTTCAAGCCTTCCTTGGAGAGCGCCTTCATGGCGGCCTCTGGTCGGGGTCTCCCGTTGCCTCCGACGTCGTGGAGAAAGGGTTTATTCCCGGTACATGACCTTGCCTTTCCCGAGGCTGGTCCTACCGCGGAGGCCCATGTTGAGCGGTTGGGTGTCCGTGCCCCACCGGCTGCTACGGTAACGCAAGCTACCTTGCACCAGCTGGACGCCCTCGCTCGGCACTCCATGTCTCACGGAGACACTTACTTGGCTGCAGCGGCCCGTCTGGTCGAAGGTTCTCCCACGGACCGTGACCAGCGCATTTACAACTGCCTGCTTAGTTTAAATGCTTCCCTGGAGTACGTTGCCGAGGACTCTCGGCACACACTTGCTCTTGTTGGGTCCCTGCATAGTCGCCTGGGTGCCGCTCCTAACCGGAGCGCGCCCCAGGCTGCTGCGGCCTGTAGGTCTAAGGGGTCGGGTTCTTCTTCCTCTGGGAAGTAGCCCCGGCCTGAGGGCTCCGGTATGGGCAATCAGCTGCCCTTTCGCGGGAAGACGGGGAACTGGGGGAAGCCCAAGTCGTCGACGGACGGCAAGGGCCCCTCCTGGTGACTCTCATTGGAGGGGTTCGTATGCCGACAGCGCCAACTTCGGTTGGCCCTTAGGCGAACCCGAGTCACTTGGCCCTGGACAGTTGCGCCTGCCGCAACCTGTCAGGGCCCCCTCTCCTTCCCCAGTGGGAGCCAGACTCCAGACTTACTGGGAGAATTGGGAACAAGTGTTCGACGACCCGTGGGTGGTCAACACGAATCGGTACGGCTATCGGCTTGATCTCAAAGCGAATCCGCCGCTCACCGTTGCCCCGTTGGCAGGTTTCGATTCGGAAACCGATCTTCCCATCCTCGCCGATGCCATCGGCAGGTTGGTGGAGAAGGGGCAGTACAGGAGTTAGCTTTACCAGAAATAACACCGGGGTTTTACTCCAGGATATTTCTTGTTGCCAAGTAGGACAGTGCCGAACTCAGAATGATTCACACGTCCGCTCCCTGGCTGTTCACCCGGTTAACCACCCCCATAGTGGGGTTCCTCCACAGGAGGGGTGTCCGGTACTTCGCGTACCTGGACGACTCGCTAGTAGCAAATCGAATGACGGACACCCTGTCACGCCATCTCGATTTCGCACGTCAGCTCTTGGAGCAATTTGGGTGGATTATCAATCTCCCCAAGAGCGAGTTAACCCCTTCTCAGAACTTGCTGTTCATCGGATGTCGGTTCAACACGGTGTCCCATCGCCTCTTTGTCCCCCCAGACAGGTGGCACAAAATTCAGGCGATGATTGCCAAAGTCTTAGCGGTGCAACAGACTGTTCACTTTTGGGAACAGCTGTTAGGGCTACTTGTATCAGCCCAGGACTGCACCGCATGGGGTCGTCTCCAACTCCGCCCGCTGCAACGGTTTTTAATCCAGTTGTTAGCAACGGAGGTGAACAGTGCGACCGTCGCCCTCCCGGATCGGCTCCGACCGCATCTGGAGTGGTGGACGGTCCCTTACATTGTCTTATCAGGAGTCTCTATGCGGCCCTACCGGGCCACGTTGACCCTGTATACAGACGCCTCTCTAGTGGGCTGGGGCGCCCATCTAAAGGGGGAGGTGAGCTCGGGGCTGTGGTGCGTAGACGAACTAGGTCTTCACATCACTTGTCTCGAGTTCAAGGCAGTGATCAACGCAGTCAATCACTGGAAGCATCGTCTCGTCGACGGCCGGCTCATGCTGGCGACCGACAACACGACGGTAGTGTCCTATGTGAACAAACTGGGGGGAACCCACAGTCACTCGCTACTCGATCTCACGTTCGAGTTTTACGCTCTGGTGGACAGTGTCCCGTGCCAGATACGCGCCCGTCACATCCCAGGTGTGCGGAACGTACTGGCCGATGCTCTATCGAGGCCTCAGGATCCGAGCCCCACAGAGTGGATGCTGAACCCAGTAGTGTTTCAGTGGCTGTGCGAACGTTTGGGTCGTCCGATGGTCGACCTGTTCGCAACGCGGTTCAACAATCAACTCCCGTTGTTTGTATCACCAGTCCCGGACCCGAGGGCCATCGATCACGATGCTCTCGCGTTAGACTGGACGGGCTTGGTCGCTTATGCTTACCCGCCGACAGCGTTGATACCACACATTCTAAGCTGGCTCCGAGGAGTTCGCTGTCGAATGTTACTGATCGCGCCCATGTGGCCGAACAGATCGTGGTACCCCGACTTGCTGACCCAGGTCACGCAGTCGCCACTTCCACTGCCTGTGAGACCGGATCTCTTGATCCACCCTCACACCCGTCAGCTTCATCCAAACGCAGGGCAGTTCAATCTGCACGCGTGGATGTTGTCACCGAGCGTCTGAGGAGTAAAGGTTTTTCTCGCCGGGCGTCTCGGGCATACGTTAGTATGCATCGTGATTCTACCCAGAAGGTGTATAATGCACGTTGGGTTATTTTCACGAAGTGGTGTTGTAAACATCACATTCATTCGCCAGATAAGGTATCTATGCAGGATATTGCTCGTTTCATGTCTCACTTGAGAGAGACCCGGAAACTCTCCGGGGGTTCCATTGCCAACTATGTCTCGTCCGTTGCTACGGTACGGGACGTTGCTATGGGTACCAGTCTCTCCAAAGAGCCGGTGATACGGGGTATTATCAAGGGTAAACAGCACGATCTTAAGAAGGGCCGCCTTCAGGCACCGGCCTGGGATCTTTCCCTGGTGTTGCAATCACTTACGGAAGCTCCGTATGAACCCTTGCATAGTGCTTCGTTCCGGCATGTGACTTGGAAAACAGCATTTCTCCTCTCCTTTGCCACGGCGGCACGTGTATCCGAAATTCATGCACTCGATGTCGCCAAGGTACGATTCGATAGGGGTGACGAAGGAGCAGTCCGCCTGGGCCTGCTCATGGGCTTCGTCGCCAAGAATCAGAGAGTCGGGCAAACGGAGAGAGAATTCACTGTAAGATCCCTCAAAGAAATCTTACATCCTGCTGATACTGAGGACAGAGTGCTGTGTCCGGTTAGGGCCCTTAAGTATTATCTTAAGGCTTCGAATGAACGTAGACAAGGGCGTGACCGTCTGTTCATATCGTGTAACCCTAATCGCACGGTTGACATAACTCGCAACTCGATTGCGTTGTGGCTTCGTTCTGTCATCAATCTGGCGTACCGGTCTCGGGGGTTACCGGTAGCGGGGTCAAACCCGCACGAGATCAGGTCGCTAGCGGCAACATTTGCCCTACACTCGAATATCTCTGTTCGCAGAATATTACGAGGTTGTTACTGGCGTTCTGACTCGGTTTTTGCCAATCATTACCTCAAACAGGTCGCTGATGCCGTCGTGGAGAGTGTGCACCGTCTTGGCCCGCGGATCGCGGCGCAAGCGGGCACCTAAGGGGTGTGCCCAGCGCAATTCCGAACTCCTCAGGCGTCTGACCTTGCACGGTGGTCAATCTGGGTCGACTCCAATGTTCCCACTGCCGTGGGTACAGGAGTTGGGGTCCCGCAAACCAGTGCACTCACACCACAGGTGAGGGCGGCTTTTTGTGTGCTTAGTCCTTATTTGTATTTTGACAATTATGTCTTTAATTGTCTGTCGTGTATCCCAACCTTGTGATGCATGCTTACAAATACTGGAATAAGGTCACGCGCCTAATGCATACTTTAAGTAGGCTTGCTCTGGGATATACGGTCTGAATGAAATTAATTTCCCTCTTTTCGACTGTTTAACCTGATCTAAGATTAAGCTCACGCGGATACAGTGTTCTCATCCGCTGCGGCGATGAAATACCTATCCAGTGGGGCCGTTTGAAGTCACCAATCGTTTTGGCAATGACGATTGAGCCTTACGGTATGCGCTTGACACTGCTTTGGTATTCCTATAGGGTAACGCCTAGCTAGGTGCATGCGCATCGAGTGCTTCCGCCTTGGTGTTTACTTCCGCTGGTCGGAAGGAACGCTAGCAGTCAGGATTCGGGTTGTAGGTGCTCCCCACCGCCTACTGTGGTAGTCAGCCTCGGTATAACAGTGGTAACGTATTACTTAATGTAATTTGTAGAATTTTCCTATTCGGAATATTCTATAAGTAATACGTTACCACTGGGCTGCTGCCCGCCCGTCCGTCCCCCGAGCACTTGCTCTCGCAGGAGACAAGAGTGAAGGGTGTCACATGGCAGCTAGGTGGCTACGCACGTGCTGCATGAGGTAATTGAGATCTCTGTGGTAGATTTCGCTATAGCAGCAGTTGTGGGAGACAACAGCCTCGGTATAACAGTGGTAACGTATTACTTATAGAATATTCCGAATAGGAAAATTCTACAACTTCCTTTGGTTGAGAATAAGCTGTTGTATGAGGTATGTGCAAAATAGGTTCACAATTTAAATTTGGCTTGGACAGTTATGACTCTTGTCATCATTATTTTACTACTCAAGAGAAGTAAGTGAACCCCGAATGTTTCTTATGACTATGGGGTGGTGGTGTAGCCTCGTTGTTAAAGCGTTTCCTCGTCACACCGAGAACCCGGGTTCGATTCCCCAAATGGGCACAATGTGTGAAGCCCATTTCTGGTGTCCCCAGCCGTGATATTGCTGGAATTTTACTAAAATCTGTGTAAAACAGTACTCGCTCACATATTCTTATGACTGTACTTAATCTGTCTTGGCAAAGATTGGGTGTTGTTTAACCTCCTTTAAGTATTACCGTATGCGACGTAAGAAAGGCCCAGCTCTAATAAGCACCCACGGCGATATTTGCTAATATATTGGCTAGTGAACAATCCCAATTAGCACCCCTTCTGATTGATCAATGTACAAGATTTATTTTTTCCCATATAATACGCACTTGTGTGTTATATGCACCCTAAATTATGGACAATTAAATTCTGGAAAAATATATCTCTCGTATATAAACATTTCAGGCTGTCAGCATAAGCAACTCTGTTTATTTTCATAATATTCTGATAAGAGCCCCATGTTTCTAACTTTGAGAGCACCCTGGGCGCTTATTACGTCGAATACGGTATACTGTATTGCTGCTGTTGCTGCATTGAGGGCGAATAGGACAAAGCTGAAGGCAGAGGTACTTCCTGAAATACAGCAATCTTGCTATGAAACAGGAAATTTGTTATATTTTCCAAGAGCAGGATGATATATAATGTTAAGGCTGGAGAATGAGTCTGTATAAAAATTGGTTATATTTTTGAGTGGGGCGGTAATTTGAGATCAGAAATGTCCTATATTCATGTACATGAGATAAAGTTCCATTGTCCTCCTATTGTGTGTAGGGCGGTCGGGTAGCCTTGTGCTCAAAGCGTTCGCTCGTCACGCCGAAGACCCGGGTTTGATTCCTGACATGGGGACAATGTGTGAAGCCCATTTCTGGTGTCCCCCTCCGTGATATTGCTGGAATATTGCTAATAGTGGCATAAAACCATACTCACTCAGTCCTCCTTTTGTGCTGTCAGACATCCCTGACTGTTGCTGTGAGGAGGATGGTGGAACGCCTGGCAGTGTTCACACCAGGACGAAGAAGTCCACTCCTGTCGGTCATCAAGCAATTCTTAGAAGCTGGTAAAGCGTCTGGATCCGAGAGTAAGACAAAAGAAAGAACACAGATGAAACTGGAGACATTCAAAACTGGTGGAAAATTGGATCCAAACAAACTCACACAAGGTAGAGCACTTTGATATTTAGGAGTGAGCGAGTGTAGTTTCTTCCTCCTCTCAACAGTGTTCCTGATTTAATAGGAGGCAGGTAAATAGAAGTCAGGAACAGACATAGCAGTGGTCGATGGCATGAACACACATCCTCAGCAGGGTACAGTTGAAGGCCTCTGAAGGCAGCAGTCCTCCTTCTTGATACTGCCTCCATGGTTTAGTGGTAGTGCGTCCGCCCGGAGAGCGGAAGGTCCACGGTTCGATCCCTGGCCGTGTCATACCAAAATACATTAAAAGATGGTACTTGTTGTTACCCTGTCTGGCGCTCGGCATTAAGGGGCTAAAACAAGGACTGGTCGGCTCAGAGTCAGTATACTGTGTCTGAGTGGGATATTCATGTTAAACTGCGGCATGGTATCTCAGTGAGCTAGCACCATAAATCGACATCAGTCTGCACTAGTACAAGCAGCCATGAACAATCGTGCATGCACCTCGCTATATAAGTGCAATAATCTTGGACGCGACATTAAACCCAATTTCACCTCACCTCCTTACTGAATTGTTTGATAGTCATTACTTAGATGTTGATGGATGACAAAGTAGACCCAATTTATGGATAGAAACTTCTTTATTTGGTTGAAAGGCGACATTTCGGTATAGATCCTTACACCGTTGTGAAGCCTTCCAGTAAATAAAGAAGTTGTTATCAATAAATTGTGTCTACTTTGTCAGTCCTGCTGGGTACTGTTGCTGTCTTTGTGAGCACTAGACTGGGTCTTAACTCAGTGTTTCAATAGTAGTAGCTGTGTGTTCAATTTGTTGAACGAGGCATTCTACTTTCTAGCTCTACTTGTTAGAGAGTCTGCCTGGAAAGCAGAAGGTCGGTGGTTCAATCCCCAGCCTCATCATACCCAAAGACAATAAAAGATGGCACTTGTTGTTATCCAGTATCTCGAAGGATTATCTTAATTTTTATAAGATGAATAATATATTTGATAACCTGCTCAAATCTGGGAATTATGGATTATCCGTTGTTGTGAATGAATGCTGTAAGTCTCTCATTATAGGCTTGATGCTTACACCACTCATTCACACAGGAGAGTTATTCCGATCTGATCTGATCTGATTCCTCGTGGCTTGTTTGTTTTGGTATTGATGTTTAATTGCAAATTTCACATTTTCATTGTCACCTGAAGCGATATGTAGTTTTTTTTACCAACAGAAAAAGAATTTGATGAAAGTTTAACCAATACATAAGCTGACCCCTTTTAACAGAAATATTTCTCTGGTCCTGAAAATTCGGCTTATCATATACAGTAGATATTTCCTGGTCTAGTGATGACTGGTGTGTTGCAGGTCTCCCAGCTCTGAGTGGCGACCCTGACCTTGAGAACTTAGTGCAGCAGTGTATGACGGAGGTGATGGAGCAGTTAACGTCAGCGGATGGTGCCAGGGTTGCCAGCCAGGCCCTGCTTCATTTAGAGAAAGTGTAAGTGTGTATACTCGGTTATATAACAAATGTACGGGGCGATGGAGTTTTGGTTTGTTGTTCAACGCCGCACTCAGCAGTATTCCAGCTATATGACGGCGGTCTGTAAATAATCGAGTCTGGACCAGACAATTCAGTGATTAATATCATGAGCATCGATCCATGCAAAAAGGGATCGGTGACATGCATCAACCAAGTCAGTGAGCCCGACCACCCGATCCTGTTAGTCGCCTTTTACGGCAAGCATAGTCGCCTTTTACGGCAAGCATGGGTTGCTGAAGACCTATTCTACAACGGAGGACGATGGGGTAGCCTAGTGGTTAAAGCATTCGCTAATAACACCAAATACCAAGGTTCGATTCTGTACATAGTTACAATGTGTGAAGCCTATTACTGTCCCCTGCCATGATATTGCTGGATGTTGCGCAAAGCACTGTAAAACGACTCACTCACCCACTGTAACAAATGTACAAGGACCTCATTGCCTCAGGTATGATAGGAACTAGCTGTGATCATGCAGCTGAACTATATTTACCCAACATTACCCTTCTCTCTTTCTTTCACCCTGCGGGATTCCGATTTGTTATAGATTCCCATGAACCCATTGACAGTTTTAGGAGGAAACTTTAGTGGATGGGATGTTGAAGCTCGATTGATTGTGTCAGTGTAACCAGTGTGACATTGTTCATGATATCCACCAATTGTTTTTCTGTCACGGACTCAAATATTTGGAAGCCCCGGTGATATTAATATTTCTAACTGTAGCATGTTGATGTTGTTGAGATGGTGCAGACTCCAGATTCAAATTGTTGTTGTTGTTAATTGTTGTTATTATTATCCCCAGCAGCCTATACTGGTCGTAAGAGGCAATTAAGTGGGTTAGTTGGTCAGACTTAGTGATTTGGATGATTGTGTGTCTGCGTACCCCTACAGTGTGCATCGTTGCTCACAATATTATGCAGTGGAATGTCTGGTTCAGACGAAATAGGCTGCCGCCATATAGCTGAAATATTACTGAATGCAGCGTTAACATCAAGCAAATAAATTATTATTACTATTATCATTGTTATTGGGCTAAAATAAATAAAAAATAATAGACCCGTGAGGATTCCGGGCTAGAATAGGTCTTCAGCAACCCATACTTGCCGTAAAAGGCGACTATGCTTGTCGTAAAAGGCGACTAACGGGATCGGGTGGTCAGGCTCGCTGACTTGGTTGATGCATGTCATTGATCTCAATTGCGTGGGTCAATGCTCATGATGTCAATCACTGGATTGTCTGGTCCAAACTCGATTATTTTACAGACCGCTGTCATATAGCTGGAATATTGCTGAGTTCGGCGTTAAACAACAAACAAAAAAACCCAAAAAATTATAATTGTCTTGTTTCTCAGGCACCGCCTGCATCATCACAAATTTGTTGGGCACGTTTTGTTTTTATTTCCATTTAAAAAAAAAAAAAATACTAATATTAAAACAGTGTGATCCAATATAGCACACAGTTACTTCCCTTTACATGCGCACTGCTTTACTGTGCATCTCGTGTTATTGTCATGCCAGCTATAGGAGTTTGTATGCTTGTTTATGTAGGGAGTCCCTTTCCCAGGTGTTGGTACACAACTGTTCATTTGGTTGCATACTAGTTTGAACAACAACAAAATCCCAACAAAAACCCACCGCCTGCTCTACATTACTTGAGAACCAATTCTTTTATTATACCCCCGACAAAATGTCGGGGGGTATATAGTTATACCAAGGTTCCGTCCGTCCGTCCGTCCGAAAACTTTGTCCATGCGAATTCTCTTAAACTATTCAGGGGATTCTTCTCAAACTTACTACATATAATCTGTGTCATCCGGAGGGGTGCAGTCAAAAGAAAAAAAATTGTTTTTATTAATTTTCCATTTTTTTATGAATTTTTCAAACCCTAACCCTATCCTTGCTATTTAATTTGTAACTACTGACACACTAGGCGGGTCGGGGGTATTTGTTAGCCACGCTCACTTTTGCACTTGTTTTTTTAAGCCTTGTATAATTGTCTTCTTCTCATTATTATCATTATTGCCATTATTCCGACCAGGTCGCCCATGCTTGTATCCACTGCCTCTCTGCTGATTGATTGGTTGGAGCTGCTGGACCCTGAAATCATCCAGTCCAACCCAGACCTGCAGCAGCAGCTGATATTTGCCAAGAAGACCGTGAGCCAGCCGAGGGAGAGGGTGCCGGGGAGCCGGAAGGAGCCATACTTGCTGGCGTTGCTGACCCACCAGTGTAACTGGGGCACCGTCAACAGGTGCATCACCAGGATCCTCAACAACACAGAGAAGAGGTGAGGTAGTTTCTATAGCCTCTGACAGGACCCAGTTATTAGTGGCTGTGAAGGATGTGCTTGTTTTATGTTACAACATTTTCTGTTGGGAATTTATTTGCCCCCGGTTGGGCGAGTTGTTTAAGGTGCTGCAATTCACAGTGCAGAAAAGATACTACTATATATCGCTGTGTATAAGGCGAGTTTTTCGCACCTAAAATGAGGGGGTTAAGAAGGGGGGTCGTCTTATACACGGGATCTCACATTTTTTTCCAGTTGTTTCACTTTCAGCTTCCACTGGCGATGTCAACCAGCGTCCGATAGCCAGCCCAGCATTTGACAATAAAACTTCGCATTTCGTCCTAAATAACTGTTCCAATAACTATTTCCGTACATAAACATGATTTGTATCTTTTTTCCTTGAATAAAGTTTAATAATTTCTGCAAAAAAATTGAAATGACCCTCGCCTCGATGCAGATTGTCAAACCAGCTGACACGGTAAAACAATCAACAGTAGAGAGTAGAGAGCCGGAAGTACCGGGAAGCATTTGCATATTGCATATGTGACCTAACATGTGATAACCAGTGAAGCTGAAATCAATTCCCGCTGTTTTTACAGTTGTATTAACAACTGTTGGAGACGGTGTGTATAAGTGATTGTGGAATAAACACGCTGAATTTGAAGCAAACATAAGCTTAGTTAGTTACAACATAGTTAATTGGCGATTAAATTACTCACCATTGTCTCTTATATGTTATTACTTCATAAATGAATTTTATTTAAAGGTATTTAACCTTTTATTTTGATGTCAAACTCATTATGTTCACTTGATGTGAAGACAAAATTATGTTACGATACTACTCAAAATACGTTAAAGAACACCTGAGTATTTTAATATGACTATTGTTAATCTGTCATGACAGAGGTGGCGGCAGGGGTGATCCAGTCGTCTAAGGCGCTGCAATTCACTGTGCAGAGTTGTGTCACAGTGGCACGCCAAAACCTTTGACTGTGGGGTCAAATTCTCGTTTCTAGGTTTGTCAGAACCATACCCATGCTCATGTTTGGGTTTCACCAAAGTTGTAAACATCTGAGACCTGCATCACTTCGGGCTTTCCTCCCACATTAAGCTGACACGCCATGATATGACTGGAACACTGTCAAAAACAGCATTAACTCTCTCACTCACTGAAATAGGCCCAAGGTTAAGAAAATCGGATTCTTCTTTCAAAAGAAAACTATTGTATTTTTTGTTAGCAGTAACAATATGGTCTCACTGGGAGTTAGTATTTGTATGTGTTTTATCCATTAACACCACAAACTTGTATTTCAGCTTCAATGCAACATCAGTGTTGGACTTCCTCTGGGCGTGTATCCACATCCCTAAGATCTGGCAGGGACGGGAGTGCAAGAAGGTAAGGGGCTTCCTTCACAAGCATCTAGCAGGAGGTCTTTATTCACAGAGTTGCTTTGTCAAGAATTGAAATCTTTCTCTGATAAAAGCACTGTCAGGAAGATAGTTGTAAGCTGGCCCCATTCCACAAAGCCATCTTAGCGCTAAGGTGATCTTAACTCCAATGCTTTAACACTGGCTTATGATAGTCGTAGCGCTAAGTTCGCTTTGTGGAACGGTGCCCTGGTTCCTTGTAAGGACTTGTGTTTTGTTTTCCCAGATGGACAGTTGTGAAGACATTCTGAATCCCACCATCAGCCAGGTGATATGTGTGGTGGACTACATCCTAGAAGAGGCTGATGACTCCAGGAACACAACTGCAGGAGAGTCCTCCCATCCAGCTGGTGCTCCGAGCCCATCCTCGTCCACCCTGGAGACCCTCTGTCAGAGGATGAGCCTGCTGAAGGCCTGCATGGCCGACAAGGATGTCCGACTGAGAGCTGTGGTGGATCATCTTCAGGGAAAGCAAGGCCGCAGGTATGTGTCATGTTGCCAACACTCTCCCCTCTGCTAAAATCGTTTCCCCTTCTCAATGCTCTCCCCTCTGCTGAACACACTCGTCTGTGCTCAAATCCTTCCCTTTGTTCGAATCTCTCCCCTCTGCTCAAATCTTTCTCCCCTGCTCAGATCTCAAACCCTCTGCTCAAATCTCTGTTCAAATCACTCCCTCTACTCAAATCTTTTCCCCCTTCTCAGTGCTCTCCCCTCTGCTGAACACACTCCTCTGTGCTCAAATCTCCCCCCCCCCCCCTGCTCAAATCTCTCCCCTCTGCTCAGCACACCAACCTTAGACATTAAAGTTGGTCCGCTAGTCTGAAAAACCAAAGTGCTTCCTGCTTTGATTTACAGTGACTACAAAATAAACAGACATGTAGCTTCGTACTTTCTGCTTTCATTGTACCCATGTAGAGAATCGAACGCCACTGTTCCCCCCCCCCCCCCCGTTGTTACACATAATACGTAACCCCCCTTGTAGTTGTGTGTGTACAGGTCATGTATGACTGTGTTGTTGATGTAGCTGCCTGCAGACGAAGCTGCTGTACGAGCTGTACCTGCAGTATCCCTACATCCTGTCCTGGCTCACCGACAAGTCATGCATAGCTGCTGAACACGACACTCACGACAGCCCCAGTCAGGTGAGAAGAACATCCCCAGCGAGACAATAATAAATACATGTAATTCATGAATATTCATATGAAATATGAATATAAAATTGTTCATCAACTTTTTTGAATATGCATAACTTAAAATGGGACGAATCTGAAATGTTCATGAATATTCATGTATAGTATGGTTCATGAATATTCATGACTTTGATAAAAACATCCACTTCATGAGTTCATGAGTTATTAGATTTATGCTTTCATAAAAAAATTTAGTCCATAAATCTAAAAAATTCCTTAATGTTCATGAAATGGTCTCTTTATGAATATTGATGAACTTTCATGAATTCTGGATTTATTCATTACATACATGAACTAATCTGTGTATGACCTGATGACTGGCTGTGTGTAAGATCCAATGTGTTGAAGCCCTGATGTTCTGATTTGTGTACAGCTGGATGTCATCTCCCACCGGCTGCTGATGGCGCTCGGTCATGCCGTCCACGGACACACCGCCGAGAACAGGATGTATGATGCCAACCTCGGGTGCCGGAAGCTGGCGGCAGAGCACCCTCAACTCATACTCCGGTGAGAAGCCGATTTTCCCCCTACATGATGCTAGTTACCTGATATCTTGAAGTTGTGAGTTAGTTGGGTTTAACGCCGCATTTAACAGTATTCCAGTTATATCACGGCGTGTCAGCATAATGTGGGAGGGAAGCCCGAAGTGATGCAGGTCTCAGACGTTTACCACTTTGGTTAACCCAGGAGCACGGGTATGGTGCTGACAAACCTAGAAACAGAATCGGGGTGAGCCGGGATTCGAACCCACAATCATGTTTCTGGCGTACCCAAGGGATGCAACTCTGTACAGCGAATCGCAACACCTTAGACGACTGGGCCACCCGTGCCTCCTCATGAATTTGAGTGGAAAAGCATTTAGCTGGATCTCATTCAACAAAGCATTGATTGTTCCTTACTATCAGCATTAAGGCTGGTTTTTTCCTTGGTAGTAAGGGGCGGTCGGGTAGCCTAGTGGTTAAAGCGTTCGCTTGTCACGCCGAAGACACGGGTTCAATTCCCGACATGGGTACAATGTGTGTAGCCAATTTCTGGTGTGCCCCGCCGTGATATTGCTGGAATACGGCGTAAAACCATACTCACTCACTCACTCACTCCTTGGTAGTACAGGTGAAGTCAGTTGTCAGTATCCTCTCCATGCTGCTCTATGTTAACACCACAGCACATCACCCACTCACTCACACATCCTGTCAATCCAGTCTCTTCACATCTTGAGACCTGTGAAGATCCAGTTAGAAAAGGTCTTCAGCAACCCATGCTTGCTGTAAAAGACGACTGCTTGTCGTAAGAGGTGACTAACAGGATCGGGTGGTCAGGCTTGCTGACTTGGTTTATACATGTCATCGTATCCCAATTGCATGGGTTGAAGCTCATGATATCAATCACTGGACTGTCTGGTCCACACTCGATTATTTACAGATGCCGTCATGTAGCTGGAATAATGCTGAGTGTGGCGTTAAACAACAAAGAAACAAATCCTATCTTGATGTTTATTCAGCTTACTTGTGGTCGGTTGTGTGGCTGGTATGTGACTGTTGCTCATGTTTTCAGTCACCGGTTTGCCTTATCACTGCTGTAGTGGCTAAGCACCACTGTTTCTGGATTTATCATTGTTGATGATGCTGATCATATTTCAGTCAGCTGCCCATGTTGGCGGCTCTGCTGCGGGGCAAGACTCAGTACAAGATCGGGGAGATGAAGCACCGCAACTTCCTCACACTCTTCTCCAACGCCCTCGGCCTCCTGGAACTACTACAGCCGCTGGTGTTCCGTGCCGAGTACACATCGCTGCCCGATATACTGGAGACCTACTTCACCCTCATACAGGTGAGTTCATTGTCTGATATACTGGAGACCTACTTCACCCTCATACAGGTGAGTTCACTGCCTGATATACTGGAGACCTACTTCACCCTCATACAGGTGAGTTGACTGTCTGATATACTGGAGACCTACTTTACCCTCATACAGGTGAGTTCACTGCCTGATATACTGGAGACTTACTTCACCCTCATACAGGTGAGTATGTTGCCCGATATACTGGAGACCTACTTCACTCTCATACAGGTGAGTTCGCTGCCCGATATACTGGAGACCTACTTCACCCTCATACAGGTGAGTTCACTGCCCTATCAACTGGAGACCTACTTCACCCTCATACAGGTGAGTTCACTGCCCGATATACTGGAGACCTACTTCACCCTCATACAGGTGAGTTCACTGCCTGATATACTGGAGACCTACTTCACCCTCATACAGGTGAGTTCACTGCCCTATCTACTGGAGACCTACTTCACCCTCATACAGGTGAGTTCACTGCCTTATGTACTTACAACTTAGTTCATCGTCATACAGGTGAGTTCACTGCCTGATGTACTCACAACTTAGTTCATCGTCATACAGGTGAGTTCACTGCCTGATCTACTCACAACTTAGTTCCTCGTCATACAGGTGAGTTCACTGCCTGATCTACTCACAACTTAGTTCCTCGTCATACAGGTGAGTTCACTGCCTGATGTACTCATAACTTAGTTCCTCGTCATACAGGTGAGTTCACTGCCTGATCTACTCACAACCTACTTCACCCTCATTCATGTGATTTCACTGCTTGAATCACTCTTTGTACCACTCTTCTGACTGTATATGTTGAATGTGAGTCATCAAGTTCACGTTTAATTTCAGTCTCATGGCAAAGAGCAGCGGCTGTTAGGCTCCATCATTGTCAAGTTTATCACATTTCTGAATGGTTTTGTCAGCTACGATCCTCAGCGTGCCATGTCCCTCCTACAGAGATATGTCATACTTCTTGGGTAGGTAAAAGATATTTGTCTTTATAAAGATGATATCTATTTTTGTTGTACAGTACAACTTGTACTGTATGTCAACACAATGAAAGCAGTTTTGAAAACCTACTTAATTTCTTTGTGATGCATATACAGATTGTGAAGAAAAAATGTCTTATCTGTAAGAAAATGTATTATTTTCACTGCTGCTGGAAATCAGTGGGGATCCAAGGTTAGAAATGGTCCATAGCATCCTATGCTTGGTGTAACAGGGCGACCCTATGGATCGCCTGGTCCTCCTTGGTGACTTGGTTGATGGCGTGTCAACGCTAAAAAAATCAATAACAGGATTGTCTGGTCCAAATTCAGTTATGTACAGGCTGCCATCATAGCTGGAATATTGCTGTGTTTTGGGTTAGTCAACAAACAAAAAAACAACTTCTGATGAAAGACTAATTGCCTGCCTGTGTGCCCTCTCCAGGGATGTGTCGTGTGTCTATCCCGACCTGTCAGAGCTCAAGTCCCTCCTCGCCGGCCTGGCCCTGCCCCGACAGAACAAGACAGAGGCAGACGCCACCAGCCAAGATGACACCACGCCAATTGGGTCGCCGATACGGGCCGCCTGTTTCTGGTCATCAGCTCACCTGGCCCCGATTCACAAGAAACTCCAGAGACGCAGATCGGTGGAAGGTGAGGAGGTCTCAAGGTTGTCCGCTGTTCTGTATCTTGAGTATTTGTCAGTGACAGATTTAATCATTCAGATTTGAAAATACCTAACTCTGTCTATTCTGTTGTGCTAAGCACACTATGAACTGCTGCATCAAATTTACACATTAAGATAAAGACGTGTGTGTGATGATAAGGAAATAAACATTGTGTGGGTCGGATGGCGAACATACCTGTCTGCAAGAGAGGCACGTGGAATGTCGTGTTGACTCTTTGTCCGTGATAACAAACGAATCAGAACAAAACAAAGACTGGCAAATTGAAAATGGAAAAAAAAGGCAAAAAAACAAAACGAATACCCTTGGTGTAAAAACACATCTCCACAACGTCGCGATAAGAAAAAGAATGCGTTGGCTGGGGAGGCCACGTGTTTAGCGTGTGTGGGCCAACCAGCAGAGAAAGCAAGCACATCCCAGATTGCTGGAAGGTCACCATGGTAATGCGAGGTGTGTTCAGGTGAATTGTTTTTAAGAAGCTGGAAACCTTTGTTTTGGCACGTTTCCACTTAGGATTGAAAGAAGAAAGAGAACTGCATGGTGTGAGATAGGATAAGTTTAACAAATATACAATTTATTTTAAAATTTGCAATTTTGAATCCATATAATCGAGTATTTGGCCCTATGTCATTATTTGATCTCAGCTATTTTACCTCTGCCTTTAGATTCTTTTTTTTAATTTTTAAAATTCATTCTAAATCTCCTTTTTTCTAGGTCTGTCATTGATAGGAAATTTTAATATCAATAACTTATGTCAGTATGTTGATTAATAATAAAATAATTATTCTATATGTGTATAGATTAAAAATGACCCATGTGGACCTGAAATTAATTAATATACTGTTAAATATTAACCCTAACCACTCACTCACTCATTTTTGTTACAGAACTACGCACACACTCACTTACTCGTTTTTGTTACAGAGCTTTTGGATGTACTGCACGACCTCGATGAGACCTCAAAGAGAAAGGTGGAAATCCTTCAAAACTTTGAGGTATTTTGTTATGCAATTGTCTGAATAAATATCTTCTTGAATATAGCCAGGAATTATATTATCTGTGCACTGTTTTAAACATAACTTTTTGCTGATGATGGAGATATGATAAGATAATTCAAACCATCTGTGAATATTTGTTTTTGTTGAACTTTAGATTTCAAGATGGAGCTGGAAATATGTTAATGTGTGAAAATGGAATATTTCAGAGTGAGCTCCGGCAGCTGATGTTGGAGTCCAATGACAAATGCCGCAACCTTGCCTTCGCTCTCGTCATGCGACATCTCCGAACTGCCCCATCGTGAGTACCAGTCACTGATATGTTGATTCTATAGTTTAGTTTACAGAGGTCACACAGACCATAGTTTCTTTAGTTTAGTTTACATGGGTCACACAAACCATAGTTTCTGTAGTTTAGTTTACAGGGTCACACAGACCATAGTTTCTGTAGTTTAGTTTACAGAGGTCACACAGACCATAGTTTCTGTAGTTTAGTTTACAAAGGTCACACAGACCATAGTTTCTGTAGTTTAGTTTACATGGGTCACACAGACCATAGTTTCTGTAGTTTAGTTTACATGGGTCACACAGACCATAGTTTCTTTAGTTTAGTTTACAGAGGTCACACAGACCATAGTTTCTGTAGTTTAGTTTACAGAGGACACACAGACCATAGTTTCTTTAGTTTAGTTTACATGGGTCACACAGACCATAGTTTCTGTAGTTTAGTTTACAGAGGTCACACGGACCATAGTTTCTGTAGTTTAGTTTACAGAGGTCACACAGACCATAGTTTCTGTAGTTTAGTTTACAGAGGTCACACAGACCATAGTTTCTGTAGTTTAGTTTACATGGGTCACACAGACAATAGTTTCTGTAGTTTAGTTTACAGAGGTCACACAGACCATAGTTTCTTTAGTTTAGTTTACAGAGGTCACCCAGACCATAGTTTCTGTAGTTTAGTTTACAGGGACACACAGACCATAGGTTCTGTTTTTCTGATTACATTCGGTCTGTCACCTTGATTTCTCCTCCTCCAGACGGTCCAGTGAGTTTGTTGCCATGTACCTGCAGTGCCTCAGCGACAGCAACCCCGACATCATCAAGACAGCACTCACCAACATGACCGAGTTCACCGTCCTGTGTCAGGGTAGGTACATCATCATGCATGATCTCTGGATCGCCCACTTGCCATCACGAATTATGTGATTACCATGTCAACTCTCACACAGCAAGTATCATATAAAATAGTGATAGATGTTTCTTACATCATAATGTAGCCAGTATGATGTACAACAGGATAGCCTGGGAAAAAAGTGTAAAAATGTAAGTGCTGTTTAGCTGAATTAAAAGTTCGTATTTTGTGTTCTTAATTTGTTACAACCCAAACAAATCTCAAAGCGCTATCAAGGAGGCGTGGCTTTATTAGCAGGGCTGTCTAGGCCTGCAAGCTGATTGGCTATCACCTCCAGCCAGGTACAGAATAGATGCGATTGTTTCATTAGTTGCGGGGAGACCAGTTCAACTTCCAAGAAACATTCACATTCCATGATAACTCAAAAACTATTATCACTGTTAGAGTTGGACATATTAGCAAGTTACGATCAGGATACTGCAAAAAGGAACGAAGTAAGTACGATCGATGTTTCATCATTTTATACAGAGGCCCTAGAATATCTCAAATTTAATAGCACAATAAATGACAGTACTGAAAGGCGAACAATAAATGCAACTGAAGAACAAGTATGTTTTGCACATCATTTTCTCACTGAATCGTGAACTCAATTTGTCATATAAATAGCCTTTGTCACTAACTGTGTAATTGGCATTTTAGAAGTTGGTGAGTAAATAAGATAACGTACAACTTTATGGATAACAAATTTATCACATAGGAGTACATTTCAATCCTTTAATCCCACCCTTGGATAGAATGTCTAAGGGTTAAAAAGGGTGAAGAATAGGCTTGCATTGCTAAGCATGTGTGCAGCCAACCATGACTGAACAGAGGCTTGCTTGCTAGACTGCGAGTGGAGGGTCGGGCTTGTGCGATGAAGCGTGTAATTTTGGAGAAAATCACCTCCAACATGACCATATATGGAACCTCTATATATTTGTCTCCGCTGATAGAGACCTTATTTAGTCTCTGCTTTCGATGGTATGAAACGATGTTATGATCTCTCCAATTCTGCAAAGGGTTTTTTCATCTGCGAAACCCATTCTCCGTGTCACACGCTGTGAGGTTGCTGGCATGTTGCTAAAATAAAAATAAACTTATGGCATGACACCCTTATTTACCCACTCACTCACTCATTGGACGACAAGACACAAGCATATTATTATCAAGATGGAACACAAAGGTTGAGTATGTCGTTATGATCCCTGAACTAAATGAAGAAACACATGGAAAACTAGGCATAGCATTGGTCAATGAAAATTGAGACAGTTTGATTTATGATTTAGTTGTGCCTTGCTTTTTTTCATTTTTTGTGATATCCAAGAGTGTCCAATAGCCCGTAGCAAAGTCTAGTTTTCACCTTGCTATTTTAGGCCTACTTTTCTGTGCTATTGTGAGAGCACTAATGATAGTCCAATAAGAGAATGATTAACAAAATTAACTTTCGGGTTCTAAAAACGTGGTCCTACTATGGCCACAATCATTGCCTGTCGAATTTTCAGTGAAATTATTCCAGAAATCAAGCTAAGCAGGTAATTTCGAAGTGGTTCAAAGTTTTCAATCAACTTGCCCATAAAATGCAAACGTCATTGTTTTTTTACTCGAACAACTGAATGCTTATTGCTGTGACTGTGATGCAGTGCTATTTTTAGATGACCCCTGCTGAGCATTTCATGTCGCCGCAAGGTGTAGTGTTAATTGATACTGTGCAGTCTGTATGGTTCTGGTATTGTTAGAGCAAAATCTGTGGTAATCTGTTTTGTTTGTCAGGAATGAAATCTCAAATCTTCTCATTATCTAATCGATCAGACTGTCTGCTTTGGTAGTCATCTTTGTGAAGCTATTTGAAATACGAGTAGCGATCTGATTGGATATTGCATCTTATATATCAACGACAAGGGACACAACTTGTGTTATACACAGGGTGGCACCAAAATCGAGCCAAGAAAAGTAGGCATGAAATGGGAAGGGTGGGAACTGAGGGGCCTCTGCTCCATTATTTTTAATGTATGTCGTAGGCCATGTCTGTGTACTGAAGGAACTGTTCTGTATGTTGTAGGTCATGTCTGTACTGAAGGAACTGTTCTGTATGTCGTAGGTCATGTCTGTGTACTGAAGGAACTGTTCTGTATGTCGTAGGCCATGTCTGTGTACTGAAGGAACTGTTCTGTATGTCGTAGGTCATGTCTGTGTACTGAAGGAACTGTTCTGTATGTCGTAGGCCATGTCTGTGTACTGAAGGAACTGTTCTGTACGTCGTAGGCCATGTCTGTGTACTGAAGGAACTGTTCTCTCTCTTGTAGGTCATGTCTGTGTACTGAAGGAACTGTTCTGTATGTCGTAGGCCATGTCTGTGTACTGAAGGAACTGTTCTGTATGTTGTAGGCCATGTCTGTGTACTGAAGGAACTGTTCTGTATGTCGTAGGCCATGTCTGTGTACTGAAGGAACTGTTCTGTATGTCGTAGGTCATGTCTGTGTACTGAAGGAACTGTTCTGTATGTTGTAGGCCATGTCTGTGTACTGAAGGAACTGTTCTGTATGTTGTAGGCCATGTCTGTGTACTGAAGGAACTGTTCTGTATGTTGTAGGCCATGTCTGTGTACTGAAGGAACTGTTCTGTATGTCGTAGGCCATGTCTGTGTACTGAAGGAACTGTTCTCTCTCTTGTAGGTCATGTCTGTGTACTGAAGGAACTGTTCTGTATGTTGTAGGTCATGTCTGTGTACTGAAGGAACTGTTCTGTATGTTGTAGGCCATGTCTGTGTACTGAAGGAACTGTTCTGTATGTTGTAGGCCATGTCTGTGTACTGAAGGAACTGTTCTCTCTCTTGTAGGTCATGTCTGTGTACTGAAGGAACTGTTCTGTATGTTGTAGGTCAAGTCTGTGTACTGAAGGAACTGTTCTGTATGTTGTAGGCCATGTCTGTACTTAAGGAACTGTTCTGTATGTTGTAGGTCATGTCTGTTTACTGAAGGAACTGTTCTCTCTCTTGTAGGTCATGTCTGTACTTAAGGAACTGTTCTGTATGTTGTAGGTCATGTCTGTGTACTGAAGGAACTGTTCTCTATCTTGTAGGTCATGTCTGTGTACTGAAGGAACTGTTCTGTATGTTGTAGGTCATGCCCAGGTAATTCTTCAGAAGGTGTTCACCATCGGCGTCACAACATCAATGGAGACATCATCCTACATCAGCGAGACACTGCAGCTGCTGAACCTGGAGAATGCCCAGACTTGAGAAGATACAAGGGAGGCAGTGTACAGCTGAACTGTGCTGGCTTCAAGCGGGACCACAGCTGTTCTCGGTGTTATAATTCTGCTTGTGTCGACCTCACAAAAGGGCTACAGCTGTTCTCAGTGTAATAATTCTGCTTGTGTTGACCTCACAAAAGGGCTACAGCTGTTCTCAGTGTAATAATTCTGCTTGTGTCAAACTCACAAAAGGGCTACAGCTGTTCTCAGTGTAATAATTGTGCTTGTGTCAAACTCACAAAAGGGCTACAGCTGTTCCCAGTGTAATACTTCTGCCTGTGTCTGCCTCACAAAAAGCCTACAGCTGTTCCACTGCAAAATTCCACTTGTGTCGGTTTCACAAAAAGGCTGCAGCTGTTCCCAGTGTAATACTTCTGCTTGTGTCGACCTCACAAAATGGCTATGGGTGATAAATCTGCCAAGAGTGAAGTACATTCATCACAGAGATGTTTAAACAGCCATGGCCATCTGTTTCCCAACACAGATCTGTTGTATTGAAAACAAGACAGGATAGGATGAGCAGGCTTATTGAAGCTGTTACATGTCCTCCCACCATGTAGCAGTGGTTGTTAACGAGAGTCTTCACATCAGTGAATGTGTCCATATTTTGTACATATTACTCATATGATTGATTAAAATGATTCATTAAGTAGTCACTGGCTCTTCTACAAACTTGTCACCACATGAAAACATCCCCAAGAACAGCTCCCTGAACAGCTCCCTGAACAGCTGCCTGAACATCCACATCAGTTGGGGTGGGACTGGGAGCAGATCCTCTTCACCACAAGATAAAAAAAAAAGTCTATAAGGCTAAAAGAAAAATAGTCTTGGTTCTCAGGCACCGCCCGCATCATCATAAAGTCCACAGCACGTTTTGTTTTTATTTACATTTTCAAAAAATCCTAATACTTAAAAACAGTGCTGTCCAAAGTAGTACATAATTACCTCCCTCTACACGTGCACTGCTCAACTTAGCATCTGTGTTAGGGTCATGGCGGCAATAGGAGTTGGTATGCTTGTTTATGTTGGGAGGCCCATTCGCAGGTTGATGGTACACAACTGTTTATTTGGTTACATACTAGTTTGAACAAGCAGAAAAAAAGAAAAAAACACCGTCGGCATTATATTTTCAAAAGTAATTGCCTGAGATCCAGTTCTTTTATTTTTTAAGCCTAAAATAGTGTCTAGAACAGAGGCCAAAACAGAGATACAAAATGTACCTTAAATCAATGATTTAAGCCACCAAAGTACACTTTCTCTTCACATTCACCGAAAGTGTTTGTTTGTTTGTTGTTTAACACCGCACTCGGCAATATTCCAGCTATATGATGGCGGTCTGTAAATAATCGAGTCTGGACCAGACAATCCAGCGATTGACATCATGAGCATCGATCTATGGAACTGAGATACGATGACATTCATCAACCAAGTCAGCCAGCCTGACCACCCGGTTAGTCGCCTCTTACAACAAGCATATACATTAACCACTTTCTGTTATAGATATTCTCTTCAAAACAAATAGGGGATACCCGGAAATAACTAAAAAAAATAAAAAATTGGAAGAGATATTAGTTTCTTGTAATAGTTGTATCATAATAATGAACGAAGGGCACATTACAACCGGTAGTGAAGTATGACAGTAGATGTTATGACCATCAACGATCTTGAAGGTTGATGGAGCTAAGTGAGTGAGTGAGTGAGTGAGTTTATATTTAACGTCACATCGGCAATATTTCAGCAATATTGTGATGAGAAGTTGTACATTAAGAAAGATGGGAAATTTCAAAGTTTATGTTTTTGGATGAGTAGTGCGTAATACCACCACAATTTCATTCATTCACTCCACGAGGCATACTGCATATGAGTCTCCAAGTAATGATTTGAGGGCGTCTGTTCCACTCATCTTGCAGCACCTAGCCACGTTCAGCCAATATTTCGTGGTGTATGGCTTGATTGAAAGCCTCACAATGTCGCTGCGCGAAATCAATGAGGTTGGGTGATATCCATGGCGTTTGCGTTATCATTTACACACCATGTCCATCTGACGTCAGTAATCTGAAAGACGACACCGGTATTACCTTTACATTGCTTTTACAATATCGGCGTATATCAACAGTTGCACCGTGACAGGGAGACAGGCGCCTTGTGTTTTTGAAACACTGTCCCCGTGAAGATCCGGGGTAGAAGGGGTCTTCAACAACCCATGCTTGCCGTAAGAGGCGACTATGTTTGTTGTAAGAGGCAACTAACGGGATCGGGTGATGATCAGGCTCGCTGACTTGGTTGATGCATGTCATCGTATCCCAATTGCGTGCATCGATGCTCATGATGTCAATCACTAGATTGTTTGGTCCAGGCTCGATTATTTACGGACCGCCTCATATAGCTGGAATATTCCTGAGTGCGGCGTTAAACAACAAACAAACAACAAAAAAGGAGACATTGACCTCAAGCACTTGACCTCTCCCCCAGTCGCCAGTACATATGCACTGGACATCGCGTGTGATCACTTATGCAAGGAAGATGGTCAGTGACATTGAGTTCGTGAGTGGTAATTGAATTAAAACTAAGCAGAGCCAGAGGCATCATCATGTTAGTGGAATTAGTAGATTCTTTGTTGATTAGCTACTGATTAAGAGTCTGAAGGTCCAGTGCGACTCTTTTCCACTGACCGGCAACGTGAGTACCAGCTTCAAGCGTAACACAATAGCGGAAATGGGTGGAACAAATTTGTAGTTTCTAGCTTTTGGTTATTAAAATGTATGCCCACATGGCCAATATTCAGGCTGAACTAAAATCCACTTCTTTCAGAATGAAAACGTATGCTTTCCCCGAGTGATAGGTCTGCAGCAACCCAAGCTTGTCATAAGAGGCGACTAACGGGATCCGGTGGTCAGGCTCGGAGACGCTGATGCATGTCATCGTATCCCAGTTACGTAGATCGATGTTCATGATGTCAATCACTGGATTGTCTGGCCCAGACTCGATTATATACAGACCGCCGTCATACAGCTAGAATATTGCTGGGTGCGGCGTTAAAGAATAAACAAGCAGTTTCGTAATGTCTAACTACGGAAATGACGCATTTCAGAATGCTGTATGTGTGATGTTACAACATTATCTGTATGTGGTCACAATACAACCAGCGTGTGTCTCTAGGGTCGGAATATTGCATGTTCGAATCGTTTATGGTCCTTGGTCCGTCAGTTTTTAACGTTAACGATTAGCTGACGCGCCGCGGTATAATCGAAAAACTTTTCAGAGCGGCATTAAACCCAGCTCACTGGAAATGAAATGTGTAGGTTATGCACCCATAAAATTCTTTGAATTTTTTTTTCATCGCTTGTGTAAGACTTTTTGTTTCCATGTTGTGTTGTTTTACGCCGCAGTAATCATGTCTGATCCAGGTAAACCAGTTTTTTCATATCAGGAGAAGAGTTATGTAATGTCGGGGTACAATGACATCCGATCAACCAAGTTATCGAACCTGACCAAATGAGAAAATATCGCAAAGATAAAATATTACAAAGGAAACGTTTACGTACACCAATAAATTCTTTAAATGTTGCGTGCAAGTACGATTTTATGAGCGTCCAGCGTATCACAGTGCTGAGCCCCGCATACCCACAAAATAGACACCTTATCACGCGTAAAGTTTTATACTCACCGCAAAAGGAAACGCGAAACATAAAAAACATTTAGAGAAATATATCGTTTTGAAGAGATGTTTCCAATGTGTAACCACAGTGTCTTTATTCTTATCGCGTCATGCTGTACGTGATTTCCAAACTTATCCTGCACGAGCCAAATGGTGCATCTCGAGTGATGGATCTAAAATGTCACATGTGATTCGTTCATGAGCGTCGGTTCACATATAACAGTATGTTCGTTTGTGCATCGAACCTATCTAATATCTCTTGAAAAAATCTTCATATATTAACCAACATGTATCGTGTTGGCGTTTCTTTTGTCGGTGAGAATACATGCACTACAGTCATTGCAAGCGCACCATGTGTAAATTCGTAAATCAAGTTGACCCGACATTCATAACGTGGCTTACATATCATCTGTGAACAATCACATCAGCGTTCACGATGATGAGCTTTGATGAGAGTGTTGATTCAGGGTGATGACCGGTCACTGGGGGCTAGTATTAGATATATAATTACTATGGACTAGTTCACTGAGCAAATTAACCAAGGACACGGTGTCCGGCAGGGCCAATGGCCATATGATATATTTGGCTGGAGGTGGTGTTAATTATCTGAGATGAGAGAAAAACATGTTGGGGAAACTTATACCGTGGTACCTCACATAGGTTTTCTATTGTGTGTGTGTGTGTGTGTGGGGGGGGGGGGGGGGGGGTCCTAATGTAGTATGCTGTAGACCAGACAATCCAGTGAATGACATCATGAGCATCGATCAACCTAATGGGATACGATGACGTGCATCAACCAAGTCAGCCAGGTTTAGCAAAGACCCGTGTAGATCCGCGTAGGTCTTCAGCATTGATTGATTGATTCTGGTTTTACGCCGCTTTTAGCAATATTCCAGCAATATCATGGCGGGGGAAACCAGAAATGGGTTTTCCAGAAATTAGCCTGGAGGTTAAAGCGTTCGATCGTCACGACGAAGACCCAGGTTCGATTCCCCACATGGGTACAATGTGTGAAGCCCAGTTCTGGTGTTCACCTCCGTGATATTGCTGGAATATTGCTTAAAGCGGCGTAGAACAGTACAAACAATACTCACTCATTCACTCAGAACTGTCAACGCGTATGTCGCCCGGGGCTCAGCTCTTAGAGGAATCAAGGACAGCATAGGCATCACTGTCCCGGAACTTTTAATGCACGACATATAAACAATAAACAAATACACAATGAGCGGAATACAGTACAAACATAGCGATGAGATGAGTTTCCAGCTCTGACATACATGAGGTGAGCGGTGTTCCAGCGCAACTGACCGCCTCCGTGGTCTAGTGGTAGAGCGTCCGCCCGGAGAGCGCAAAGGTCCGTGGTTCGATCCCCGGCCGTGTCATACCAAAAGACGTTAAAAGATGGTACTTGTTGTTACCCTGTCTGGCGCACGGCATTAGGGGCTAAAAGAAGGAATTGTCGGCTCGGAGTCAGTATACTGTGTCTGAGTGGGGCATTCATGTTAAACTGCGGCATGGTATCTCAGTGTGCTAGCACTAATAATCGGCATCAGTCCGGACTAGTACAAGCAGCCACACACACACACACCCGTGCATGCACGTCGCTATATAAGTGCAAAATCTTGGACGCGACGTTAAACCCCATTTCACCTCACCTCCAGCGCAACCTCAGGGCGCTTCCTACTTGTATATTCCAACAACATGTATGTTGAATATACAATCAAACCCCGTTGTCTATCATCTAGCGGGCCCGTGATGTAACTTCGAGATACCCGGACATACGAGATAACGAGGCATGACCGCCCATACGGATCAATATGCAGAATTATAGATACACAGCAAAACGATTGGATTCACAGGAAGTTAAGAACGCCCCAGACGTCGGAAAGGGTTGAGATGACATACATGTATATCGTTGGCACTTTGGTTGGAGATGAGTTTTAGCAGCGAGTGTATATAAGCCTCATATATTCCTATATAAGCCTCAGTCATAT